GGAGGGCATACCATTACCTGCTTCTTGGAGCCCCTCGACTTACTTGCTCTGAGATGAGGGGGCTTGTCCAGGCGACAGTATGGAAGAGGGACCCCCAGCGGGGAAGAAATGCCATGCGGGACAGTGGCCTCTCGATTCTCAGTGGCATTCGAGTGCCTGATTCTGCCTCATCTTGGAAGCTAAGCAGGGTCTGGCCTGGTTGACATCTGGATGGGAGACCGAACATGCTGTGCATTGCCCAGAGAGCTTCGGCTTGTGGTCCCCTGGCTGGTTTGGCCTGCTGTCCTCATCGCCTCTAGCAAGCATAGTCCATGGTGAGGAAGATGGGAAATGGGACAGGCCCGAAGTGACCTGCCCTTGCAGATCAGTGATGTGGCACCCCGGAATAGAGAAGGATGACGAAGGTGATGCGCAGGGCCAGGCTTTTGGGTCTGGATGGAAATCCTTCAGGTCGGCTCTTTTCTCCCGCCATGTGGGAGCTTCTCCCTGAATCGCAAAAAGACCTGTGTGGCCCCCTCTCCTGCCCAAATGGGGCCAGGAGAGGGGGGTTTAATGAACCCCCGACTGTCCCTGTGAGGCTCTTCTCCTGGCTTTCCTTCCTCAGTGAGGAGAAGCCACACTGGCCTTGCTTCAGGGTAAAGAGAGCTCTCTCTCTCCTGCTCCTTGCCCAGGTGTGGGGGGAAGACCGTCAAATTGCCCCAAGTAGCGGGTGGCTGCCATGCAGAATTGGGAGAGCAGCTCCTCCCGGAAGGCCTCACATTGCGCCATTGGTCTGGTAGCGGCCAAGTGCTCTGGGTAAGGTGACTTTGTCCTTCCTGGCTGCATGGAGGCTTTGTAGGACAAGAGCGTTGCTCGCTCCTGGCTCAGGAACCAAGATCGGAGAGGCGCTACCTGCCCGACTGAGCCATCTGTCCCCCAGTTCCCTGCTAGCAACCTGCCATCCCAGGAAACCAGGCAGATCACCACCTTTTCCACCGAGAGAGCAGCTCCAGCTTGGCTCGCCTGTGGACTCTGGCACTCGCCCAGCACTGATCGGCTTGGTGTCGGGAATGATCTGGCAGGATAAGGCAAGGCTGAAACTGCAACCAGAACCCCGGCCAAGAAGGCAAGGTAGTGACTCCATATCGGGGTCTGTCTGTCTGTGCGCCGGATGAAAGACTTTTCTTTCGGGGAAGCGGTTCCCACACCCCAAGAAGGAGCTCCCCATTCCCAGGATCTGAGGTGCGGCGGAAATGCCCAATGGCATGAAGGAATAATCTTGTGTGTATCAAGTGTTTAAGGATGCACACAATTCTCTCACTGTGTGTAGTTCCGTTAAGCCTTTTCATCCAACCCACCTGTTGTTGAGTAGCCTTCCCAACCTGGAGGTGCCTTCCAGAAGTTCTGTCCAACTTGACTTGGGGTCTTGACAGCTGTAGAGCCGCAGACCTGCCTGGGGAAGACTTTGGCCGGGGGGAAGGGGGAACAGGAAGCAGGACCCCTGTCCATGCTGTCAGGGGCTTCTGATTCTTGAAGTCCAAACCTTGTGGACCTTCTGGCCACCCTTGTCTTGCCCAAGGCCACACTGTCTTTCAAGTTCAGTATTGTCAACTCCTGGTAGGGGCTCTCTGGGAGCCAAATCCTCTCCTTCATCTAGTGCCTTCACCTAGAGATGCCAAATACTGAACCTGTGACCTGAATACAAAGCCCGTGCAATCTCGCCAAGCCGGGGATCCTTTCCACAGGCAGACCAGCTCTTGGGAGAGCTGTAAACCAACCATTTCTGGATAGCTCCAGGCACCCTCTCAAGGCAGGAGAGTTGCTGCAGCAGAGCGGGGCCACCTACAGAGGCAGTGTGTGATACTTCTTTGCTCTAGGTGGCTAGAAAGATCCCACTGGTGGTGGAGTCCTGGTTGAGTCCTCCAAGCTGCTGGTGTTTGGCCCTGAAGAAGCTGGCAATTTCTCAAGGAACCAAGGTTCAGGCTGGATGCCAGGAAGCACTTCCTGATGGTTAGGGCCCCGAGGGTGTGGAATGGGCTTCCACGAGAGGTCGTTGAGGCCCCATCGGTGCAGGTGTTCAAGGATAGGCTGGATGTCCACATGGTGGGCATGTCGTGAGCGGAGCCGACTGGAGCCAGGGGTCAGACTAGATGACCCGGGAGACCCCTTCTGACTCGCTCTGTTTCCATGTTTCCTGATGTTTGCTTTGCTCACAAGGAGACCTTTACACATATGTGGGAAAAGTAGGGTGTGGATGTCCACCTGTAAGCAGAAGAGGCCTGGTCTTTCCTGCAACCTCATAGTGCAGGCCATGACCAGAGGAAAGGAAGTTGATGTAAGCCTGTGGTTTTGGTTGCCAGGCAGGGCTGTACCCGCTCCAGTGCGTGATCTCCCTCTCCCTCTCCCTCTCCCTCTCCCTCTCCCTCTCTGTCTCTCTCTGAGCTTGATGAAGCAAGCAGAATACTTCTGTTGAGAAGTTCCTGGAAGTGCCCAGCACTCCCCCTGTGAGGCGGAGGGGAAGGGTTTCCTCCTTTTGTCCCAGAAGGTGCTTGCTGAAAGAAAACAACTGGAAGCGTTCCAAAGCGATACCAAATTGCCTTGCGCTTCACGGTGGCCTTGCGGAAGTGCCCTGAGATGAAAATTTTGGGAGGGCAGATAGCAGCTGCGGTGGCTTCAAAACCATGGTGGAAGGGTCACTCTTGCAGGACAGACTTCCTTGACCTCCTCTGACACAATGCTTGCTTTCAGAATGATCTGGAATGATTCTCAAGGCAGCATTGGCAGAAGGAAAATGTATTTATGGTGTTCCTGTGTTGTTTTCTGGAACCCTTCGGAGGAGGAAGAGGAAGAAGAGGATGACCATGACCTCCAGCACGACCACCACTGCCACCTCCTCATAAAACACTGAGAGCAACATTATAATATTTAAGTAAACACATTTGTTCAGTCGCAATCAATGCAATATTATTAATCGAAAACCAATGTGGATTCTTTGGAAAGAACAAGAGTCATTTGGAATCTGGAATCTTCCTTATGGACCATTCTAAGAGAACTCCTTCCCTTGTTACCTCCAGAGGGTCAGTTCCGAGCATAATTTTGCAAGAACAGATGTCATTTCTTAATTAGAAGCGCTTCCAGATGGAGAGTTCCTAGCAGTAGCAATCACAGGGTAACGTGGAGCTAATCTGTCTTTTCTGCCTCCGTTGATTTTTTTTTCCGGGGGGAGGGGGGCGGGAGGTACTGGTGGGGATATATGAGAGGAAATATGAGAAAATGCAACAATTGTTTGGACTGCCTTTAAAATTTGCGGGCTTCCCAGAAACACTAAGGATCCACAGTGGATTCAAAGGAGCTCAAATGCCTAAAACTCCCAAACATGGATTCTGCAGCTGACTAGCTTTTCAGTTTGTGCAGATTGCGTAGACTTGCAGAGTGACCTTTTCCTTTTAGGCAAGTCATTGAAAAGAAAATGCATTGAATTATGCAAGTCTATGAATAGAAAAGTACATAAAATGCATCGCATTAATTCAAAATGCACTTTCCCCATCACTTAAAACATGAAAATATGACAAACGAATGAGCATATTTGTTGTGTACGAATCTGGGAGTGCAAATTTTCACAATGCCGAATCGTTGCAAATTCGCGCCAGTGCGTGGACATGGAAGGAGTTGTGCAAGATTCTGCTCTGTCGGGTGGCGGATGGCAAGACATCGAGCTGCCCAAAAACTCCTGACATGCACTGGAGTAGATGTGCGATGCCCATGCCGCCCTGGGAAGCGTCCTGGCCCGTCCCCGGTAAGGAATTCACCCCACGGCCTTGGGGCCTCCTGCAAACACAGCTCCGGTCCGACGTGGAAGGCAGAGGTGGAGAGGGAATGCCGTCTGTGGAGGCCCGAGTGTCTGCCTGTCACCTCCGCTTATGCAAGCTGTCCGTAAAGGAGGAGGCCAAATGCGATTTGCCTTGGATTACGAGGAGATCGCCTGGAGCCACTTTGTTCTTGCTTCTAAATGAGGCGCCCGTGCCCGTCCTGCGTGTCTCAGATTAGAGTGAGGAGGAGAGTGTTGCTGCGTTGGCACCGACTTCAGGCTGGCTCAGCGATTCAGGGGCATGTTTGTGGTGTGGGCTACGGATTCCTCCTTCCCGTTTTCATCTTGCTTCCCTCCGTCCACCTCCCCCCCCAACCCGGTCAAGACACTGAGCACAAGGCAGAGGTGGAATTGCAGCCCTGACCTATGCGGACACCTCCGCCAGGAGCTCTTCTGTGCAGGAAGGCAATGTCCTCGTTAGGAATAAGTTTGGTAATTTTGTTTTAATGGAGTCAGGAGGAGCAGGGGGCCTAGAGGGGCACCAAGGAAGGTTTCTGTGGGCCACCACGTTGGAGACCCCAAATTATATTGTTTTATATTGTTACTTTGTTGCTATTTATTGTTGTGAGCCGCCCCGAGGCTTCGGCGAATGGGGCGGCATAGAAGCTTCCTAAATAAATAAAAACAAATAAATTTCAGGCTGCCTCAGAGTGAGAACTGGGCCAAAGCCTGGTTCTAGTGTAGGGTGGCCACTTCAACACAGTCTTCTCCAGAGAGTCTGGCCTTCTCATGACGTGCCCGAATTAAGACAGGCTCAGTTTTGTCCTTTTCACTTCTAGGGCAAGCTCCGGCTCGATTGGATCTAGGACCCCCTTGATTGTCTCTCTGCCAGTCCAGGGGATTTGCAAAGATCCATGTTTCAAACCCATCTATTTTCTTCCCTGTCCAGCTTTCTCATCCATGCACTGTGATGGGGAATACAATTCCATGGGTGACCTTGGGCTTATGCTCCAGTGAAACCCTCCTATGCTGCCTTGTCTTCAACAGGACTTGGGCTGGACAGACTTTCCAGCAGAGCATCTCTTCGGAAAGAGGACTGTCCTTTGCAAAGTGTGGCACGTGGCTACCATAGCTTGGAAGGAGACCATGTCAAGTGACCATGAAGTTGCAGAACTTCTGTTTCTGACCTGTACCTCCCCTCCTTTTTTCACAGAGATTATGGCTGATGTGATAAAGAAGGTGAAGAAGAAGGGAGAATGGAAGGTGAGACACGTAATCCAAGAAGACGGCGGGCTATTGCATTGTGCCCTTTTTGCCCTCCTTCAGTAGAGAAGGATGAGCTCAGCAGGCTCAAGGCATGCACGTCCCATAGTATTGGGACACCAGCTCCAGTGCAGGATTTGGCCTCCCAGCCAGTGGCTTCACTTGAAACATAACCAAGAAAACAGACCCCCTAAATTTCTGGTTCTTAGGTTTTTTGTGGAATGGTTTGACTTGGGATACGGTTGGAGCACCGTATCAAAAGGGTCTTCCAGGAGGGTAGGGCTTCCCCGTCTTGGGAGTATGTGTTGCCCAAAGAGCCCCCTTGATGTACGAGACCACCTCCTGCCCAGCCCACCCCCTGCCCAGCACGTTCGGGCTCTCTGGACCAATTCGACGCCAAGTAGGGCCGTCTCTCTGGCCAGCCTTCTCGGCCGATCATCTGCCCTTCAGATGGTTTGGGCTTCAGTTTCCATAGGCCACCCCAAGCAAAGCCAGTGGCCAAGAGCGCTGGGAGTTGTGATCCGAAATACTCAGAGGGCACCAAGCTGAGGAGGCTGTTTTCGGGCGGACCAAGCACAGACCCTCTGTTGAACCCACAATGCCTGCCTCTCTCCGTCTTGTCCTCTCCAGGTGCTGGTAGTGGATCAGCTCAGCATGCGGATGTTGTCCTCCTGCTGCAAAATGACGGACATCATGACCGAGGGGATAACAAGTGAGTGCAGCACTGGGGGGGCGTAAGGTGTGTCCTGCAGCAGCGGCAGGTTGGACCCGATGGCCTTCATGGTCCCTTCCAGCTCTGCTATTCCACGGTTCGTCCACCGGAACTTCTCTTTCATCTGCTGAGCTATTTCTGGGCCAAACTAGGTATCATGTCTTATAGTTTGGCGTTGTGCAGCTGTTTTCCAAATCATCACCACCAGGTGAAGACTCTGGGGTGGGTTTAGTGAGACGCTAACCCTTTCCTGTCTGCTGCATTCTCAATCCAGATTAAGCCCTGCCTGTGCCCGTGTTCTGGAACAGAAAGCTCCCCATGCGAGCGGGTCTTCTAGGTCTCACTGAGGCCACAGCCGAGGGCAAAGGGTCACAGCTGCTTCCCTCCACATTATAGTCAGGGTCCAGCTGGCTTCCCTCCTGTCGGCAGGTCCGCTGTTGGTTAGAGCCTCTGTGTAGCCAGGGGTGCCCGACCCTGCTCATCTGGGAAGCGAAGTGAAGCAGGGCCAGGCCTGGCTGAAGCCTGGGTGGGTGACTCAGTTGTCGTAAGCCGCCCGGAGAGCTTTGGCGACGGGCGGCGCAGAGGTGCCATGTGATGGTGAGGCTGAAGCCAGGCTATGCAGAACTTCAGTATGTGGCCGAAGCCACATCTGCTTGGCATCCTGTCCCTTCAGTGCCCCTTCTCGGGGAATACTTCGAGGCTGCCCACCCGCCCTGCAGGCAGGCTCTTTAATAAGCCAGAACCCCCCAGGTGCCACCCATTTCTAGCTCTGGCCATGCAGGGGGGAAGCAATGGGACAGAGCCGGTTCCACGCAGGGGCTGGTGAAAGTGCAGTCCGCAGGACAGACGGGGGCCAAAGCTAACGGTGGACTTGTGGGTGCCAGGGCTTTGGGGCACCTGCTGGGTCTCATTCCCCCGTCTTGCCTCTCTTTCACGTGGCCTGGCCCAGTTGTGGAAGACATCAACAAGCGCCGAGAGCCGCTGCCGAGCCTGGAGGCGGTGTACCTCATCACCCCATCGGAGAAGGTAGGATTCTTGCCTGGATGGGCTCGTTGGCATTTATTTATCATATGTATGTCCTGCCTTTTTGTCCTCCCAAAGAGCTCAAGGCAGCTTGCATGATCAGATGATGTCTGGGCAAAACCGCATTTAAAAACACTCTAAAACAGGCCAAAACCAGGTTGAAAGCTGAAGGCCCAAAATGGCGTCACAAATGTCATTGCCTGTCTTAAAAACCAGTTGGGACTGGAGCCAGGCTGGGAGTTCCGCTCTCTGGATGCCGCTCCAAAAAGGGTCCAGTCTTGTCTCCTGGTGATGCTTAGCTCTGTCTTTGGACCTTGGGCAGAACCATTCTGCAAACTAAGAAATAATAATAGTTTGGAAAACTGTCTAGATGACGAGTTTCTATCTAGAGCTCATCATGGCTGAGACAAAAAGCTGACCTCCTCCTTCTCCTTCATCCTCAGTCAGTTGAGTCTCTCATCAATGACTTCAAGGAACCCCCCAATGCCAAGTACCGGGCTGCCCATGTCTTCTTTACTGACTGTAAGTACGTTAGAAGAATCTATCCTTCCTTCGCTCCCTCCGTAGTGTGTCGGGTGAGGAACATTTGGCCCTTCAAAGGTCCTTCTAAAGTGCTCCAGACCTACAACTCCTAGCAGCCAGAAGCAGCATGGCCGGTGTTTCCCCGCCGTGATTTAGAGGTCTGAAGGTATAGCACCAAACCCTAATGAGTCTTACAGGCTAAAGGAAACACTTGTGTGTGTTGTTGGTATCAGCAGATTGGCTAAAGAATACGTAAAAACATAGAAACAGAGCGAGTCAGAAGGGGTCTCCCGGGCCATCTAGTCTGACCCACGGCTCTAGCCAGCTCCGCTCACGACATGCCCACCATGTGCACATCCAGCCTGTCCTTGAACACCCGCACCGATGGGGCCTCAACCACCTCCCGGGGAAGCCCATTCCACACCCTCGGGGTCCTAACCGTCAGGAAGTGCTTCCTGGCACCCAAATTGAACCTTGGTTCCCTGAGCTTTGCTCTGTTGAAGCGGGTCCTGCAGGTCCTGTCATAGGCCTCTGCCCACCTCCGTGTGACACCTCCTCACATACCTGTATGTCGCCAACAGATCCCCTCCGAGTCTCCTCTTCTCCAGGCTGAAGAGACCCAGTGCCCTCATTCTTCCCTCATTCTCTCCATCTGCACATGCATACCTGAGTTCGCAGCATCAGATTCTGATGCACCATGGAATTAAGCAGGGACCTGGGTGCCATCACTGCATCTGAAGCAGAGGCCTTCCACACACTAACAAACAAACATAGAAACAGAGTGAGCCAGATGGGACCTCCTGGGCCATCTAGTCTGACCCCTGGCTCCAGCCGGCTCCACTCACAACATGCCCACCATGTGCACGTCCAGCCTATCCTTGAACACCCGCACCGATGGGGCCTCAACCACCTCCCCTGGAAGCCCATTCCATGCCCTAGGAGTCCTTAGGAATACAGTTCTTAGGGTGCCACTGAGAATAAACTGTAGGTGAAGGACCCCCATCTCAACCTCAACTCCCCCAGCCCCGCTGTCCACACTATGGGAAATTCAGTAAGGGAGAGGTTTTGTTGTAATGTTGGATCATCCCATGTGAAATATTCCCAACACCTGGAAGGACGATTGGGCATGTCATTACTCTTTGCATTGCTTTTGAAAATCAAGGAATTTTCTTAGATTGAAATGTATAGAATCACATTGCCAGAATGATTCTTAACTTTGCAGAAAAGCTAGTTAATTCTGCAGGAAGAGGGCTTTGATCATGAGTAGGAACAACCATTTGGCATACTAGTAGCATTCAGATATAATGCTGCAAGATAGCTTAGAATTAGTTGACCTGCCTGAAACTTTCCCCAGTGAACACACATGTCTTTCTCCCCTTCCTTCCGTCCTTCCTTGGGCATCTCTGGTAGAGGTTTGACAGTGGGCCAGGCTGTCCCAGGAGGTGGAGACAGGCAGGGGAGGTCGGGCAGCCAGCTTCAGGATGCTGGAAGCACATCCTGCGTGCCAGATCCTGCGTGAACTGTGGGTTGGACGAGGGGGCCTCCAAGATGCCTTCCATGCTCAGGATTCACTCTCTCCCTTTATCAAATGGTGTGCTGCCTTCTCAGTGTGAGTGAGTCAAGGAGGGCCCTTGTGTCCTCCTCATTGTCCTCTTTGGGGCCACCAAAGGATTCTGTATCTGCTGTCTCACCACAGTGGGTTCTCCTCACCCTTCGCAGCTTGCCCTGATTCCTTGTTCAACGAGCTGGTCAAATCCCGGGCGGCGAAAGTCATCAAAACCCTCACGGAAATCAACATTGCTTTTCTGCCGTACGAGTCACAGGTGAGTCGGCAGGTGAGGGGGAAGGTGGGGCCTACCTTCAGTGGGCACTTTGCGTGTCAGGTGCGATGGTTTGTCCATTCCACCAAGGGATGGGGAACCGAAGGCCTCCTGGAGATGCTTGGGCTCCGCCTCCCATAGTGTCTTACCAGCATGGCTGATGGTCAGAGAGAAAAGGTCCAACGTCATTGGGGAGGCCGTCAGTTCTCCACCCCTGCTCTGGCTTATCACCTTTGGAGAAGCTCCATTTTTTAAAAGAACCTGGAGAATGCAGGAATTGACTCCGATGCTTCTGCTTGCAGAATTCTCCTGTCGTCCCTTCCACATGCCATCTCCCCTAGCATGGAAGTGTTGCGTGGGGTGGGGGGGAGCAGAACGGTTCACCCCCGTGCCATGATGAAGTCAGTCTGATCCGCTGTTCTTCTCAACACCCCGTGGCGGTGGCGCATCAGAGCTGAGGAACGATCGCACAGGCTGCCGGCGTTTGGCCTGGAGGAGAGCAGGCTAGGAGGAAATAGGGGACTGGCCTTCAGCCCTCTGGAGGGCTGTCCTTGCAAATGAGGGCGCAGCTTTGCTCGCTGCCACTCCTGAGGGCAGTACTAGAACCTCCTGTAATCCGTTTCCCTGGGGCTGGCGGGAGGGGAAAAAAAAGATGAAATCCTTGAGCACAAAAATGGGGAGCCTCAAACCTCACCGTAAGCTTGGTGAAATGTAGGGGTCTTAGGTACTCTTTTAGAAAATGGTTGTCTGTTGTGCACTTCGGGAGTAGAAATATTTCTGCAGAAGGGCTGGAAATGGATTTTTAAAATAGCAAAGCTTTGCATGGATACCTCTGCCACCTCTCTGCTCTGTATTTTCTGGAGAAGTTAGGTGATCTGTGCCTCTGTTGGTACTGTGATTCTTCTCCCCCCTTCTCCCAAATGGGTCAGAGAGGCATTTCTGGTCATGACCTCTCATTCTATCCTTACAACAAGCCTGCGAGGTAGGCTAGGGCAACTGAAAGGGGCTGTCTTCTGACTTAGAAGAATAGGCTAGTGAAAATCTGGCTCACCTCAGCCCGATGGCATGCTAGGGTAAGCTGCTGAATCAGCCCCGATTGGCTCCTTCCACCGGCAGGAAAGGCTACCTCTCCATATATCAGAAATGTCCTATGACGTTCGAACTGGGACCTGGGCTTGTGGCACCCCTAGGAATCCACAAACAGGTCAGAGCTGGCTTTGTGCTTCAGCTTATTAGCACTAGGTTCCTATGCTGGCTCTTGGCTTTGGTGTGTTTGCCCAGGTTTGTATGAAACCGGTGAACTTTTGCTCCCTTCCAAGGATTTTCAGTTAAGTTCTGTCAGTTACTGGGTTTAAACTCCGCTCTTCCCAGTCCTAGCCTCTTAACTCATTAAGCCCCTACCCCCGCCGCCTCTCTGAACAGTGCAAATAATGGGGGCTATTTCTGTGCCATGGGGTTTTCTTTCTTCTGGGAGTCTCAGGGAGGTTTCAGGAACCCATTTGAGTGGGGCCTGGCTCAGCACTTGCATGTGTGTCTTTCCCCTCTGGAGAAGGGGGAGTATTATGGAGTTACATAACTGCTCCCAGCTGAGCGATGAGATTCACTGCCATCGCTCTCTGAGTCTTTCCCTGCTTGTGGCCTTTGATTGGTCTGTTGTGCTGATGCTTGGGTTCTCCTCCCCGGTTGCTGATGCTTCGGTTCTCACCCCCAGTTCTCCACCGGTGCCCTTCTGCCATCGGCGGCTTCCTTGGCCCATCCTGAATGGTGCTCAGCAAGAGAAGGCAGAAGGCTGCAAGCCATCTGCTGCAAACTCCCCCTCTGCCTTGGGGCAAAGGGTGGGCGGAGGAGGAACGTGATGGGACAGATGGCAGATGGGCATCTGAAGCTGCAAATATTAAGCAGGCTGCTTATCTCTGGGTAAACACACCCTCCAAACGAGAGCTATTGTTGCTTGGGAATGGAGGTGCTGCAGAGGGCGGAAGCAAGGCATTTTTCAAACACATCTTTGCTCACGTGATCATCTGTTTCCTTTCTAATTAAAAAAAAAACATTCTCTATGCTCATAACAACTGATCGCATATCACAAAAGTGTCTCAATGCAGAGGGGAAGCATAGACATAGTGTTGTGATATAAATATATAAAAGAAATTCTAGTGTGCTGTTTGTAATCCATCTTACATCGTTAAATTTCCTCGACTACGATAAGTTATCCGTTCAGTCATATTCCTCCCTGGCAATATGAAATTAAATATGGAAGGAGCAGTCGTAAATATCGAGAAACTATGATGCTGATGGATACAATTCACAAAACAGTGCAAAATTACTGTTTTACTTTTGATAAGCGGCTAATTTATTTGGTAATACTATATCTCAGACTTCTCAAACCTGGACCCTGTTGGATGTTTTGGACAAGAGTTCGCATCAGCTCCAGCCCTGGTCAGAGAGGATGGGCCTTGTAGTTCAAATCAGAGTTGAGGAAGGCTGCTATACTCCCTTTCTTTTTCAACTGACCTATTTTTATAGGTACTGCATTAGATGTCCATTGATTTTCCAAATGGATTCTAGCTGCCGTTATCAAATAGAAACAAAGCGAGTCAGAAGGGGCTCCCGGGCATCCAGTCTGACCTCTGGCACCAGCCAGTCCGCTCACGACATGCCCACCATGTGCACATCCAGCCCATCCTTTTAGCTCAAGAGCTGGTGTGTCATGAGACACAGTGAGCTGATGAAGCTCAAGGTGGGTTTTGGGGCACTGAGTGGCCGCCATTTTGAATACACAAGCAGCAGTTAGGTGGCCCTTGGCTTCTTGCATTGTGCAAACCTGGGCGCTCTGGGTTGTTTCCAAAGGAAGGTCGGCCACAGACTGGCGCTCGCTGCGTTCACACACGCTGGGTCGGTTGTTGCTTGCCGCTTATGCAGAAGGTGGAATGGCGCTTCTTTGCGCTCCTCCAAAGGACAGGGCTGGACTGATGAGGGATTGCACTGGGAGCAACATCTCGATGAGCTATTCAGCCAGGGGGCCGATGGTCTAGGGAAGTGGGGGGTTCGCCATCCCTGGGGGTGTTTATACAGAGGCCGAGTATTCACTGTGAGGATGCACACCCCATGTGTGAGTTGTCTCTTGCAGAGCCAAGCCAGCCTTGACTGGAGGCCTGGCTCCGGGACCTCCAGCATCCCTTCCAACTGTTTGACTAACTGAAATAATATTTGCACGTCTTAAGAAAAGCACATGCCACCCTTCCGCAGACCATTCAAGTGGCTTACAAAAAGTAAATATGAGAGTAAAGCCAAAACTCACTGCGACAACATTGTTAAAAGCAAGAACATTGCAAAAGAGCGACAGAGGACTGTGGGCAGATTTGGATCAAGTTCAGAGGATTAAAAAGCTGTGGGGGAATAGGCAACCGTGAAGGGGTTTGCTTGGTGCCGATATGATATCAAATAGGGGTATTAAATAATCGATGTATAAATAAAGAGCAGGACTGGGTGTGTCTCTCACTTGCTCCATCTCAGCATTTCTTTTCTGTTCGGGTGGCTCACGGGTAAAATGGGTGAAATGGATGCAGCTCCCCATCTCACATCTCAGCTTCTCTGCTCACCGTCTTTTCCTCTGCCTGCTGCAGGTTTATTCTCTGGACTCTGCCGACTCGTTCCAAAGCTTCTACAGCCCTCACAAGGCTCAGATGAAGAACCCGATCCTGGAGCGCTTAGCGGAGCAGATCGCCACTCTCTGCGCAACTCTGAAGGAGTACCCAGCCGTCCGATACAGAGGGTGAGTCAGGGCTGCGGGGGTCAACATGAAGGCACACCCTGAACCCGGGAATCCAGCCCAGGGCGCCCCAAGATGGAGCACATCTGAATAGCTCCGAACAAGCTGGTTTGCTTCCTTCCCCAGTTCTCAGTTGTCTTAGGCCTTCCCGGAAGCGACTGGGAGAGAGGGTGCAAAGAAGCCAGTAGACTTTCTTTCTCTGCCCCCTTTCTCTTTGTCACATTGACCCATCTTCTGTTGCTGGGCCTGTAAGATGGGAAGACTCTGGGGGAAGGGAAAGCAGTGTCTTTATCTTCCAAGGATTCCCATCCCCTCCATCGCTGAACACTGAGCACCTCTGGATTTAGAAGTGCTTTCTGAATTCAGGACAGGGGTGGTGTAGTGGCTGCAGTGGTGGACGGAGGACTGGGGAGATCCGGGTTCTACTCCCCATTCACCATGGAGCTCACTCAGTGACCTCGGGCCAGTTGCTGACTCTTCGCCTAACCTAAGCCTAACGAATCATGCTTGTGTCCCGTTGGCCATCTTTCGGCAGGGACTATAAAGACAACGCCATGCTGGCCCAGCTGATACAGGACAAACTGGATGCCTACAAGGCTGATGACCCAACCATGGGTGAGGTGAGTGAGCATATCAGCATGCATCCTGATTCTGGCTTCAGGATTTCGGAGACACCCAGGAAGGAGAGGTTTCCGTAACCACAAATGGGAGGTCAAAGAAGCTAAAGCCCGACTCTGGCTGATCCTTTCTCATGCCCAGGACTCCCTTTCCTTCTGGTCCACAAAAGTCTCTGAGAATCCTGGGTAGGTCTGGGGAATGGACATAATCTTTCACCTGGAGGGACTGGAGGCAACACTGCTATTTTTGTTATCGACTGTACTATTGATATTATTATTATTATTATTATTATTATTATTAGAATATTTCTATGCCGCCCCTTGCCGAAGCCTCTGGGCGGCTTACAACACAATACAATACAATACAAAAATAACAATATAAAATTAAAATTAATGATATAAAATAAATAAAAAATATAAATGATATAAAGAAGTTATAAAAGAAAAGTTATAAAAGAAAAGAAGTAGTTGTAATAATAGCAGTAATAATAGTCAAGTGATACACACAGTAAGATTTACTACTACTAAGAGTGTTGTAGTAGTGGGAATAGGGTATTATGTCGCGATACTAACATTATCATCATGGTGTGATGATAATTGCTACTACAATTATTCCTGCTTTTCTAATCCTACTATTCTTCTTAAATAACATCTGGAGCAGTGGGAAATTAATCATTTTGGGGCTGTCCCCATGGTTGCCAGGAAATTTCCAGCCTGGGTACTCTCCATATGAATTTCAAGAGATTCACGTTAACCCAAAGCTGGGAGGTTCCAATCTCACAGCTGAGATGACCTCAGTTTTCTTTGGAGGGCAGTATGTGGGGAGCAGGGTAGAAAGTACCCCAACAGAATCTGGGCTCTGTCACAAACACTCCTTGTATTGTCATTAGAGTGTTTCACTTCTTTCCAAAATGGTAATACGGACACTTGGTTCGGTTGGACGTTCTGCAAATCAAGCCACTTTGCAGCTGGCTCATGGACAGAACTGCCCTTACCTGCATGGCAGTATTTTTAGGTGCAGCTTTTATTTTCCATCAAATGCCTCTGTATTTTCTTTCCTGCAAAGGGAAAGTGAAGAGGAAGGTGTACTATAGCAGGGTAGTCACAGGAAAAAAAAGTCTTAGATTCCCTTCTTCCCTTCCATATTCTGTGCCAGTTCTCCATCCCTGATGGCAAACTCCATCGCTGCAAAAGCAAAGCTAATTATGAGAATAAGAGTTTGCAGGGAAGCTCATTCATCATTCGGCCCTTAATGGGAGAGTTTTGGCAATGTTGACCTCTTCTTCACTATAACTTTTGCCCCTTTGATCCTCCCATTGTGCAAGCTTGGGAACCAGGAAGCCTTCCGTCAGCAGCAGTTTTCCTGTTTGGTTTCTGCTTCAAAACAAGGCTGTTTGAAGCTAGTTTAATATACTGGTTTGTTTCAAACTGAGTCGCGGTTCAGATGAAATTGCAAGCCATATTTAATTGCGAACTTCCTGGTTCATTTGCTGGCTCATGCAAAGTGGTGGTGGGGTGGGAATGCACTTGTCATCAAAAGGCTGTGCTGCTGGGTTGTTGTCATTATTGTCTTGGTTATGTATTTTAAAATTGTAAACGGTCCAGAGCCCAATGGACTCTGGAGCAGTATAAAGATCTAATAAAGGAACGCCTCCTTCCCTATGCGCCCCCCGCGCCTTGAGAGCTGAGGCGGAGGCCCTCTTCCGGGAGCCCTCTTGAAGGCGACTAGGAGGGGTCCTACCTGGAGGAGGGCCTTCTCGGTGATGGCACCCCGATTATAGAATGCTCTCCCCAGAGAGGTTTGCCTAGCGCCAACACTTCTTCCCTTTTGGCGTCAGGCAAAACTCTTTTTATTCTCCCATTATTTTAATGGTTAATCTGTTTCTATCGCTGGTTTTATATTTAACCTCAACTACTTGAGCAACTACTACTCTTTAATTCTATTTTCAATCTATTCTATTAATCTGTTGTAAACTGTCCCGAGACGTCTGTGAAGGGATGGTATAGAAAAGTTTTAGATAGATAGATAGGCAGGCAGGCAGGCAGGCAGGCAGGCAGGCTTGAAGGCAAAATTCCCAGCCTTCCAACCAATGAAAATACGTTGCATGACCAAGATGAAGAAAACAGTCTGTCTGAGTTCTTTTTTTCCCCTCCTTTGCACCCAGGGCCCAGACAAAGCTCGCTCCCAGCTCATCATCCTCGACCGCGGCTTCGACCCCTCCTCCCCGGTTTTGCATGAACTGACCTTCCAAGCCATGAGCTACGACCTGCTGCCCATTGAAAATGATGTCTACAAGTAAGAATCTACCTGTTGCATTGCCGGTTCCCCTCCCGGCTGTCATGCCAGAATCTGTAGCATTTCAGCAATGCAGGACAGCACAGGCAACTGGCCAGGTGGTTCCCTCCCAGTAGCATCATTTGGTGGTGGTGATGGGTCATCCATCCTCTCCAACTTCGGAGGACCCAATGAATGGAACCCCCCAGATTGTGCTCCCCATGGCAGCCCTGCTCAGCTGTTCCAGAGTCAAGGCCGTGGCTTCCCTGATGGAGGCCGTCCATCTCATAGTTGGTCGTCCTTTTCTTCTTCTGCCTCTGACTTTCCCTAGCATGACCTTCTTCTCCAGGGAGTGGAGGATAGCCTCCATTTTGTCATTTTTACTTCTAGGGAAGCTGTGGCTTGCCTTGACCTAGGACCCCTTGTTCATCTTTCTGTCAGTCCAGGGTATTCACAAAGCTCCCCTCCAGCACCGTGCTTCAAACACATCCATTTTCTTCCCGTCAGCTTCCTTCACTGTCCAGCTTTCCCGTGCATCCACGGTGACTGGGAACACCATAGGGTGGATGATCTTGGCCTTGGTCTCCAGTGAAACATCCTTACGTTGGATGATCATGTCCAGTTCCTTCAGTGCTTCCCTTCCAAGTCTCAGTTCTTGGCTGCAGATTTCTGGACATGATCTGAAAGGAAGGACCCAAAACACGGCAAGGGTTCTCCACAGCTCAGCCCTTTCAGGTGCTCCAGACACCCTCGAGTTCAATAGAACAGAAAGCCACTGAGATCCAAGAGAACTAGTAGGGCTAGACTCCCACTTCCTCCATTATATTTGTATCCTGTCTTTTTCCTGCAAAGTGGCCAAGGCAGCTTATGCCGCCCTCCTGCTCCTTTCCCTTTTGTCCTCACAACTCCGCACAGTAATTAGGCTGAGAGCCAGCAATTGGCCCAAGGTCAGCCAATGGGCTTCAGGGCCAAACAGGTGGGGACCAAAACCCAGGCCACCCAGTTCCTCATTCTGCCCATGATGTTACCTTGACATGCCTGAGGAAGGCATCTGTGGAGATCTTCTCCACAGGCCATTATCTCTGGAGGTCTTCCCAATAAGCTGAAACCCATAAGACCTTGGCCTGGTTTCAGTGATCATTCCTGATTTGGGATACTGGGGACATTCACTACAATACCTGTTGAACCTTAATCAACCCCCTCTACATTCCTTGGGTAGAACCCATCCAAAGCACCTTCCCATTCTCACAGGCTTACACTTCTAGGTGAAGACCTCCGGAAGCGGCCAAGACAATGTAGCCCTTGTCCAACTGAGTGAAGCCACCCTTTCTCCCTTTCTCCCTAGGTACGAGACGAGTGGCATTGGGGAAGCCCGGATCAAGGAGGTTCTGCTGGACGAGGACGATGACTTGTGGGTCACCTTGCGCCACAAGCACATTGCGGAGGTTTCCCAGTAAGAGCTCTTCCTCCACCCTCACCGTCAGGCCTGGATGCCTTTCCTTTACGCAGCACACCAGCTGTGCTCCTGTTGGCCAAGATGGTTTCCACGGGTCCCCCTGCTGGCTCCTAGCTAGAGATATTAGGGAAGGAACAAAACACCCTGGTTGGGCATGATCAGAAAATAATGCAAGCCAAAGAATAATGCAAGCATAGGCTGCCTAATAGGATTTGAAGTGTGTTTAATTCCTGAGAGGATGTTAAAATTCAATACACGGAACTGTTGAGTACCCAGAAAATGATGTGGTTTAATTCTCCCTGGATGTCCATGGTGTTTTTCCTTGCCTCATCATTCTACCAGTAAAAGACCAATACATTGTAATCTGTTATCTTAACCTATTTTAGTAAAAGATAGACTATCTTTCCATCTAGGGAGCCTTACTGGCTAATGGGGCAGGATAAAAATCCCATAGATCGAGACAGAGACAGAGAGACGTAATAAAATATTCTATCATGTCAATACAATCAATATCTATTTATTGTAATTGAGCAATGTAATTAATAATATCAATTGTATGGCATTTTCAGGAGTTTGAAGCAAGTGTTTGCATGCAGTTTAATCTTTACTGGTGTTAGGTAAACTGGTGGTATTGTCCCTCACCAGGAGGCTGAGACAGAGTTGCTGGCTTAAGATTACTTACTGGGCTCACAGCAGAGGTGAGATTCACTCCCCAGATTCTCTTAACTCTCAGCTCAACCTCTTAAACCACAACCCAATGCAAATTTAGCCTGCAAAATGGCCTGCCACTCACAGCCTGCCCTAGCCAGCTGTGTGTAGGTTTACACCTTCATGTGTTTGTTCTTTTAAGGGCACGATCCGATGCCTGTTTTAACAGAAAAACAACGCCTGGTGATTCCCAGCATAGCTGGCTGGGAGATGCTGCAATCGGTAGGCCTTTTGTCCACCCGGACTTGCAAAAAGTTGCAAATACGCATATACCCACTGTTCTTACAAATCCAGCCAAGCTAGGCTGGCTCGATTTATCAGAGCAATGGAATTACAGGCACAGATATATTTCACTTCCTATGTGGCCCTGGTGATGGACACGCACAAGTGAAGTTCGTGTACAGAGTAAGTGAAGTGAAACATTTAGGGAAAGAGCTTGCCCTCTTCCTAGACCCCATAAGCGATCCCCTTGATTATTGCCCTGTACTGCAGGGAAACAGGGACAGAGCCTGCTATGTTGAAATATTTTTGACTTCTTGGTGCTCTTTCTGTTTCCAGGGAGGTCACCCGGTCTCTGAAGGACTTCTCTTCCAGTAAAAGGATGAACACCGGGGAAAAGGTGAGGCTCAGCTTGGAACAATGTGTTAGGCATCTTTGCCTGAGCAGAGTGGGAACAGGAGGAGAGAGGAAAACTGGCGTAGGAAAATTCCACGATGCCGAGATATCGTAATCCAAACAGTAGTTCTTTCTTCATATGGAGATCTTTGGATAGCCCTAGTGACCATGTCTGTGCAGAAAAGAGGGAGCCATCAGCAGCGCTGGCACAAGCTTCACTCCAAAAACACATGTTAAGTGAGCCCACCAAGACACATGTGGAGGAGAAGGGTACCGCTGTTAGCCCCATGGGGATAGAGAAAACTCAGTGGTCACACAATGCTGATTCCTGAGGGAGAGAGAGAAAAATGGGAGGGGAGGAGGAGAAAGCAGTGAAATTTCTCGAAGGAAGGCGTAGCTGGCAATGCTGAATGGTAACTGGGCACTGTATTTCTTTTTCTCCTTTGGCGGTTATGGTGCAATTTATTTATTTATTGAAAACTTTTGTACCCCATCCACCACTGAGATCTCAGGATGGATTAGAATAAGGAGCAAATAAAATTACAAAACAAGGCAAAATAAACACAGCGTCCAGCAAGTCAAGATAAAAACCCCAATTAAAACCAACTAAGCATTAAAATAATGGGAAAATAGAAAGGTTTTCACCTGTTGCTGAAGAGAATAAAGTGTCAGCACCAGGTGAACCTCTCTGGGGAGCGTATTCCACAGTTGGGGTGCCACCACAGAGAAGGCCCTTCTTTGGGTAGCCACCCTCCTGAACTGCTTCAAGGAGGGCTCCCAGAGCAGGACCTCCACCTCAGATCGCAAGGGGTGGGAGGGCACACAGGAGAGAAGGTGCTCCTTCAGGTTTACTAGTCAGTGGGAAAGAAGCCCTTTTGATTATTTTTGTGGGGACCCATGGTTGTGAGCAAAGGAAATCTGGAATTAACAGAAAGACCATAGAGGTGTGTTGGTAGGCAGTGAAGGCTCCACCAGCTGAAGGGATGAACTGTGCAAGATATTGGAGCTCTCCCATAGTTTGCAGACATGGTGAGCTACCTTCTCCTCGCTTCACTTTCTGTGAGCCAACCTGATCTACTAATATGCTTAAAAAACAAACACTCTCTCACACACAAGAATGTTAGAACTCCCTGACTGGGATCAGCCCAAACACATCTGGTCTACAGTTGTCTCTCTGACAGCTGGAAGCTTTAATGTTGATACTCTCTTTGTGATTTCCAGACGACCATGAGGGACCTCTCCCAGATGCTGAAGAAGATGCCGCAGTATCAGAAGGAACTCAGTAAGGTAAGTTTTGAGGATGGGCCGCGTCTCAGTTGCCTGTTAAGGACAAAGGCTTCCTCAGAACATCCTGCATGCAGCAACCATTACTTTTGGGAGGAGGGCTGGAAAGCGTCTTTGGTTCCAGTCCCGACTAGCTGTGAAGTAGCTCAGTCTGAATCTTCCGCTCAGTCTGTCGTACCTTACAGGGATTTATAAAGATAAAATATGGTGTAGGGCAAACCACACTGGCACTGTGCTGAGCTCCGTGAAGGGATGTAAACGTACTCAAGCATGCCTTTTAACGGTGAATGCAATTTGCTGAGTGATCTTCTGTTTGCAGCCAAGATGGCATCCTTTGGGGACTGAGCAGAGTGGTGGGGAGACAGGAATCCCTTCTGAGGGGGAATGGAATGGAATTGGAGCATCTTTAAAGAAGGTTTGGTTGGCAGGCTGGCTGGGACACTTTTTCAATTATGAAAAAGTTCCATTTTCAATCATGAGGTCCTACTTGTGTGTAGAGAGGAAGACTCCAGGACTGAGTGGTGAATTCCGCCCACCTGCTCCTAATCCAGATCTCTAGAAATCCCCAGATGGCCTTAACTCTTCAGACCATGATGAGGGCTTTTCTGGCATTTGTGCATCTGCCTCCCCTGTCTAAGACCAGAAGGGATTTCCTTAAGGTTTAGTTACTGGCAGTAAAGACTTGAAATAAAATCTGATGGTATTCTGGCCTGGCCTCTTTCGCTTGGGATGTGGCCTTCAAGTGCTTCTGCCAAAATGAGGGCCGGTCATTGGGCTGAAGAGGAATTGTTCTTCTTCTGGCATGCTCATGAGTCAATAGGCTGCATTCTGTTCCTTCTGCAGTACTCAACTCACCTCCACCTGGCCGAAGACTGCATGAAACACTACCAAGGCACCGTGGACAAGCTCTGCCGAGTGGAACAGGTGACTTGCACTGGGCAGAAACTGCTTGTGGGGCACAGGGAGGCAGTGATATTGGAAGAGCATTCTGGTCGACACTTCCTCATTGCCAGCATTTCTGCTTTCCGCCTGCTCCCCCACATTCTAAATCTTCACAAAATTAGCAGCAGTGCATGGAGCAGCTAGTACATTGCCGAGGGCTGTGCTTCTCTGTTGTCCTTTAAGAACGGAGCATCAGCTTCCTGGATCATCTGTTTAATCTTCTAACAGGGCATAAACGATGGGAGTTCGCAGGCATTCTCTTTGTTGGCTTAAGAAGCTTCCACATGGCTTCTCCCCATTTCTTCTCCCAAAACTCCCCAATTTCTGCCCCCCAAAACACACAATGAGGTTTGGTGTGAAACTGGGATCGTCTCCCCTACTTTAATCTATGGAAATTTAGATACTTGTGTCATGAGCAGCTGGCATGCAATACTTTGACCATATGGGCAGCAACTGGAAATATCTCCCGGGATGGCTTTACGGGGTTCTTTGTGTAACCAAAACGGGGGACTCGGGTCAAATAATTTTCTGTCGGCCTTCCCCATCCCGGGCAGCTTCCACGTATACTTCTCCACAACTCGCACCATCTGTTTGTGCTAAGGGGCATTTCCGCTCCAGATGAACAAACGAGCCGGGAGCCCTTCTTCCCATGGCCACGTTGGGTAAACACGAGGGATGCTTTTCCTTTCCGTCTCAGTGCGAGTGTTTCCTTGCTGCCCTCCCGGGTTGTCTCTAGCCTTGGCAGGGAGAAGGGTCCCAGCCAGGGCACTGAGTGCTCTCCTCTCCCTTCCAGGATCTGGCCATGGGCACGGATGCAGAAGGGGAGAAAATCAAGGACCCCATGCGAGCCATCGTCCCGATCCTGCTCGACGCGAACGTCAGCACCTACGACAAGATCCGCATCATCTTGCTGTACATCTTTCTCAAGAATGGTAGGATGCCTTGCCTTGCGCAGCCCTCTGTTTCGTATTCTGTGCAAACGGGTCATGATCCAGAACAACTTCCAGTGTTAGTTTTCTTGCAGGAGCAGGAATCTCGGCATAAGTGCCAGTCCAGAAGGGTTCGATCCCATTCAAGTTTAGAGATGCTGTGAGCATTGCGTCTCTCTCCTTTCTCAACTTGAACAGGATTGTGCCTTATGTTAGTAACTTTGTCAGAAATGTGCCAGGAGTTGACTCTTAGTTAGTGAAAATGAATGGACATGACTTGCAAATACAGTGTTTAAATTTATTTATGTGCTAATTTAAGATTAATGGAAAAGTTACAATATTAAATGCATAAGAGATTGCCAGATTTAAGCAAGCTAGGCAGTTTCAGAATTGTAATATTCTTTCACATGTGTTCAGATGCCACTTTCTCCTCCTTGGTTACATAGAAACATAGAAACAGAGCGAGCCAGAAGGGGTCTCCCAGGCCATCTAGTCTGACCCCCGGCTCCAGCCGGCTCCACTCACAACATGCCCGCCATGTGCATGTCCAGCCTGTCCTTGAACACCCGCACCGATGGGGCCTCAACCACCTCCTGTGGAAGCCCATTCCACACCCTCGGGGTCCTGACTGTCAGGAAGTGCTTCTGGGCATCCAAATGGAGCCTCGGTTCCCTGAGATTACTTCAGACCAAATATTTGTGATGGGCTGGAGCAAAGAACTAAAACGGGATACCTCGCTCCATTTGTGAAATACAAATAAATCTGATGAATTAGATCATTTTTAGAGCATCCAATTTTTTTCCCAGTGCAAACTGGAAATGCTCTGATGCAAATTACCCTGCCTTGCTGAGGAAAATTTTTGAGAAATATTTCCAGCTTTCTGGAAAACTTTCTGGAAAAGCCACCAAACTCTGCAGAAATGGCTGTAACTGCCCGCAGCCTGCCTGTGGTACACAACGGTGTGTGTGCCTTTGCGCACACACGCACACACACACACAACCTCCCTCCCTTTGTTTCATGTAGTGTGGTGCCAGTGTAGTGGTTCAGAGTGCGGGACTGGGACTCCGGAGATCCGGGTTCTAGTTCCCACACAGCCATGGAGCTTGCTGGGGAACTTTGAGAGTCCCAGACTCTCAGCCTGGCCTACCTTGCCAGGTTTATTGTTGTGAGGTCAAGATGGAGAGGAGGAGAATTTTGTAAGCTGCCTCGAGTTCCCTGAAAAGATGGGATATAAATCAGGAAGGGAAAACACGCGGCAAAGTCAAAACTGTATTTGCTAAGGAACACATCTCCCAACTGGGCTGTGAAATGGGCTCGTTTTCACTCCATGTTCTTGCTTTCTCCAGGCATCACCGAGGAAAATCTGAACAAGCTGATCCAGCATGCCCAGATCCCACCGGAAGACAGCGAAATCATCTCCAACATGGCTCACCTGGGAGTGCCCATCATCACAGATGTAAGCCTGACTTCTCCAGGCTGCTCTTCTTGCGCTACAAGACTGTTAACCGAATCACAGCAGCCTGCAGAGCAGTAGATAACGTAGCTTAGAAGCCTTAAGAAAAAGCAACGTTTCTTTCCAAGGGAGGAAGAAGAAACAGGAATGCTGATGGAGAGCAGGCCCTGTTGGCATTTGAGCTCTTCAGAGGAGACGGTTGCCCAATGCTTAGCACATTGGGCAAAGGATCAGGAGCTTTAGTCCCTTCTCAGCCATGGGTGATTTTGGTTCAGTTGCGGACTCCCAGCAGAACCGACCTCACTGGCTTGTTGGGAGAAAAGGCAGAAGAAGATTGTGTAAGCTGTTTTCAGTTCTTTGCAGGAAAAAATGCAGATTGCAATGCAATCATCACATCACAACACAACACAATGGAACAGAGCAGAACATACCATACCATAACGGAACATCCCATCCCATCCCATCCCATCCCATCCCATCCCATCCCATCCCATCCCATCCCATCCCATACTGTTACCGAACTCAGGCAGTCAACAGCTAGGGCAAACCCGGGTGGACCCCAGACCCAAGTCAAAAGGATCCTGAGACGAGACTTAGAGCCCAAATCAGCTTTATTCCAGTGCTCTATAGAATAAAGGGAGACAAAAGGGGACATTCAGCCCAAAGCAGTGTCCCGAAAGTTGCTCCCCAGTACATGCGTTTTATACCCTAGGAAAGCAATTAGGTCACCGAACACACTTCTCATGCATTAATGTAGCCACATGCTGACTGCTCTTTAGAAGGGCAGATACTGAAGCTGAAACTCGAATACTTTGGCCACCTAATGAGAAGGACGCACTCCCTGGAGAAGAGCCTGATGCTGGGAACAATCGAGGGCAAAAGGAGAAGGGGGCGGCAGAGGATGAGGTGGCTGGATGGAGTCACTGGGGCAGTGGGCGTGGGCTTGGGCAGACTCCGGGGGATGGTGGAGGACAGGAAGGCCTGCAGGAATGTTGTCCATGGGGTCGCGATGGGTCGGACACGACTTTGCGACTAACAACACAGCACTGAGCTGTTGAAGGAGATGCTTTAAGCAGACAATTTTGTCTTCTACAAGTGCTGCAAACCCTGTCCTGGCTTGCCAACAATGCAGCGTCCTGCAAGTTGCGGAAGTTGAGCTGTAAGGCTGAAATGGCACCAGCTGTTTCACTAGAAACATGGGGAATGCAGAGGCTGGCACTCTCATGTCATGGTGATTTGAGAAACCCCCAACTGGTGGAAGAACGGCACGGAGAAATGAATCGCCTGCCCCGCGTTGGCAATGTCTTCCACCAGTGTTTGAACTACCTCTCTGCGGTTTGGACAAGCGCCCTTGGGGAGTTCTGTAGTAATTCAGAGACTGGGGACGAGGTATCCAGTGCCCTGTCCTTCTGTAGGGGAAGGTGCGGAAGCCTTCTGGCTGCTAACCCACTAGGTCCCGGCATGGTTTCCATGTTTGGAAGGCATACCTGTGCCGTGAAGCTGAGTCCAGAGATCCCCTGTAGAGGGTTTCTCCTGTGGAGTGTTGTATTTGCCAGTTATTTCCCAGGTGGGCCATTGAACTAGGCATATTTGCTGACTCCCATCTTTTGGCAAAAAGAATTGGTTCCGTAGGAAACACTCCGGGGCCCCACAGCTGGGCAGGCGGCCTGATGCCCTGTGCCCCCACAGTCAAGGATCCCTGTTGCCCCCCCCCACCCCAAATTGGGACAGTCACAACTGGGCAGACTCCTAGTGTCCACCAAGAAATCCATGTCCTCATCTCCCATCCTCATTCTCTCCCGGGGTTGTGGGGTGATATGGAACTCTTCCTGTGAGTTCCCTGTTCTTCCCCCAGAGTCTCCAAAGTGGCCACGACAGTTGAGGCCTTGTTCTGGGGGTATTCCCTTTTCCAGTGTCGCTCCCGTTTGCACGTCGCCCACTGATTCCTTCCTCACCTATGAAACTCGAATCTTGGCTGGGACCTTCCATCACTCCCTGCCTTTCCTCATTCATGCTTCAGCTCTGCCTTCATCTCCACTGCCATCAGATCTACTTGTGGCCTTTCTTTCTGCACTTTTCCTTTTTAAGTATGTATCTTCTTAGCTGTTTCCAAAAACGGCACCTCACCGCCAACATTCCCAGCGAGTTGTACACAATGCTTAGTGCACAGGCACCCAAGTGCTTGAGGAACAAAATTGATCGAGCAGAACAAACACAGAAGTGGAGGGATTTTAAAAGAGCACATGCACAGAGAAGCGCACATACAAAGAGGAAAGTGGATAGCAGCGCTGATTACAAACAGAGTTTAAACACCAAATCGCAAGCCTTTTGACCACCGCAGACCTCAAACAATGAGGCTGGCTGGTCTGTGGCTTTCTCAAGAGTAGCTAATCGAAGCACAGGTCGACAGAGTCCTCATGGCAAGCTGAGCTGTCTCTCTCGGAGCAAGGGAGCAACTTGCTAGCTTGAGAAACCCCTCCTCTCTTCTCCCTGGATCCTAAAGGTAGGATTGAAGGGCTGGTGATTCCAAGCTGCAGCCATTGGGCTGGGATTCAACGGCCCATTCATGGCCTCCTGGGCATGAAAGCTACCACTGCACCCAGGCACGGTGGCAGGATCCCCAGAGCTCCCCCCACACCACCAAGCCCATACCTACTCTGGGCTTCTGGCTTTTGGAGGGGAGAGAGCGAGTTCTTCTCTCCCTCTTTTCCGTCCTCCCCACTGGGGACCAGTCTGCACTTTTCCAGCAAGTCCAGACTGTCAGTGTAAGAAACGCTTGTGCAGGAGCTCAAGTTGTTCACCGGCATGTTGAAAGTAAAGTTGCAACTGTTGGAGAGTCTGAAAATTGACAGACCCTCCTGGTGGCCACTTTGCCCCGCCATCTAATTGATGCTGGGGCCAAATAGAATCCCAGTAGATGTTTAGTTTTGTCTTGTCTTTGAGCTGGGATCTCCTTTGAACCTTTTCCAATTTCCCAAAAGGCAACCCAGAGGTGTATGCATTTGTTTTGACTTACCCATGATGTACTGAGCATTCCCCAGAAGAACTCTAGAAGGATTCCAGCAGACCTCTCTGTTTTTCCTTCTGTCAATTCTGCCAGGTGTCCCTAGTCAAAAGTGCTCAGGCTCTGCTCTTTCTGGACTCAAACCAGACTTCACTCCACCCATACCAACAAGTTTCTAGAAGCCCTGTGTGGCTTCCAAAATCCCCTCTGTCCAAGAAGGACCCACTTTTGTTCAATCTTGTCTCTTCCCATAGGGTCCAACCCTACCCAGGAGTCACCGTCCGTCAGGCTGGGAAAGGCAGCTTGCTGGACTCCAACCAGCACTGGACTCTTAACAGGAGGCCCTCCCTTTCTTTAGGAACCGGGTCTTCCCCCAGGCAGTGGCCCTTTCCAACACAGGCTTTCTCCTTACCGGGGGACTCCTTGTTCCATCAGGGGTAGCTCTTTTAGTCTCGCTGTTCTCTCGATCACCTTTCCTCAAGCCCTGCTCATGGCGGGCGGAGGTTCCCGGCCAAATTTGCCTCAGCCCAAATGCTGAGGGAGAGCTCTCTGGTACTGGTTGTCAACCCATCCGAAAAGAGGTTCTTTGCCCTCAAAGAATTTTGAGGAAAAAGTCACCTTCAGTTCACTCGGTGCCCCTCGTTGTATGCCAGAAACTGTTACTAGGGCAAACCCGGGTGGACCTCAGACCCAAGTCAAAAGGAGCCTGAGACGAGACTTAGAGCCAAAATCAGCTTTATTCCAGTGCACTATAGAATAAAGGGAGACAAAAGGGGACATTCAGCCCAAAGCAGTGTCCTGAACGTTGCACCCCAGTACATGCGTTTTATACCCTAGGAAAGCAATTAGGTCATCAAATACACTTATCAGCTTATTTACACTTATTTCTTATCAGCTCGAGATTCACACAGGCTTGCCCTGTTCTCACTCCCTGCACATTTGCAACTTTCATGGCGGCTGGAACCAGTGTCCACTGTCCCTTTGATTGGAGGTCAGGGTGGCGAGTTAGCTGCGGGTTACACAAACTTCATTTTGTTCTTCTCTGCTCTCCCTTCTGGGGCAGTATAACTCTGGTGTTTTTACTATGTGGCCTTCCTCTGGCCAACTAGTTTTGGGGTGCTGCAACTGGCAATAGAAGGGAGGAGGAAGAAATGGGAAGGCTGATGGAGAGGAGACGCTGTCAGCATTTGAGCTCTTCAGAGGAGACGGTTGCCCAAGGCTTAGCACATTAGGCAAAGAAGCAGGAGCTTTAGTCCCTTCTCAGCCATGGGTGATTTTGGTTCAGTTGCAGACTCCCAGCCTAACCTACCTCACAGGTGTGTTGGGAGAAAAGGCGGAAGATTGTGCAAGCTGGTCTCGGTTCTCTGCAGGAAGAAATGCAGATTGCAATGCACTCATAACAGGGACCCCTCCTAGTTACAGCCTAGCCATACCCCCAGCCAGAGTAGACTTGGGCCAAACGCCCACTGTTTTTTATCTCCTGTGTGCTCAGTCGACCTTGCGCCGCAGAAGCAAGCCAGAGCGAAAGGAGCGTATCAGCGAGCAGACCTACCAGCTCTCCCGGTGGACCCCAGTGGTGAAGGACATCATGGAGGTGAGGCTTTGCAGCTTGGGCAGGGGCTGTACCTGCCTGAGGGGAGAGACGCATTGCACAGAGAACGACTTAGGACAGAATCACACTGTTGGAAGTGGGCCCTAGCAGGCCCTTGGGCCTGCGCCCCTGCTCAGCGCAAGACGCGAGACATCCATCCCAATTTCAACCCTGCTCAGCTTCCCAGATTAGGCACTTATTCAGGCTGCATGGAAGCGGAGCAAGACTTAGCCAAATCCGCTGTTCCTGCTGCCGCTGGAACTTACCCAAATTGGGGCAGGTAAGAAATCGCGCGGGAGCCCGCGCTGGCACAGCCTTTGAGGAAGGCTGACAGGAAGCCTGTTGGAGCAGGCTGGTGGGAATGCATGCAGGAGGTCTCCAAAAGGACTGCTTTTGCTTTGCTCTTGTTTTTAAGGATGCGATTGAGGATAAACTAGATACCAAGCACTATCCGTACATCTCTACCCGATCCTCCGCCTCCTTCAGCACTACAGCAGTCAGGTAGGAAAAAAAATGGGGTGCCAGGGCAGCCCCTTCCTCCTTGGGCTGAATATTGTACCATTGCCAAAGAGGGTGGGGCCCCATTTTCCCTCAAACGTGCCTTCGCCATGGGGGTGGGGGTGGTGATAGTATAGCCATGGTCATGGTCAATGTCAAGTTCAAGTTCAAAGCCAAGTTCAAGTTCAAGGCCAAGTTCAAGGCCAGCGAAAACCAAAACCTTTTCTCAAGTTTAAGTTCACGGCCAAGTTCAAGGCCAAGTTTAAGTTCAAGGCCAAGTTCAAGTTCAAGGCCAGCGAAAACCGAAACCTTTTCTCAAGTTTAAGTTCAAGGCCAAGTTCAAGTTCGAGGCCAAGTTCAAGTTCGAGGCCAAGGTAAAGTCCCAGACCCAGAGGGTGGGGCCCCGTTTTCCCTCAAACATGCCTTCGCATGGGGGGGGGGGTGATAGTATAGCCATGGTCATGGTCAATGTCAAGTTCAAGGTCAAAATGGGAGCCCCATGATGTGATAACAGTGACAAATTATTCCTGAGTTCATGTTCAAGGCCAGGTTTGAGTCCAAGTCCAAGATAAGACTCCTGCGAAGTGAGGACCATTCCTCCAGGCCATGTCCGAGATGTTGGGCCTGATGGTGCCACACGAGGCAGGCGAGAGGGCTCCCAGCCTGGAATTGCTTCCACAAGGGCCTTCCTCGGGACAAACCCCTCCGCTCCAAGCGGAGCAACAACCTTGCTGGCCTGCCTTGGTGGATCGTTGTGAGGAAGGTAACAACAGGGCAGCCTTCCCCAGCCTGGAGCCTGACAGACAGCTTGGACTTCCACCCCCATCAACCCCAGCCAGCAATCTGGGGAGTTTAAGCCAAAACACCCAGCAGACAGCTGGTTGGGGCAGGATGCCCTGCAAAAACTGATCAAGTGTGTTAGCCTGAGTAACACCGGGGGGGGGATCATAGGAGTGGTAGTCTAGCCACCTCTGGAAGGAATCGCATTCCCCACTTGAGAGATGTGTTCTAGAGGAAGGGTTGTCCTTGGTTTAATGCATAAGTATTGGAACCCAGAAACACACCATCACCTTAGAATAAGGTTTGGGGTGCAGAGTGACATTCTTACCTGGGCTAAGATTAAAAAAAATGAAATGGATCTTTAGATGATAATGCATGACCAAGCCTCTTCATTCGAGTCGAATGTCGAACTGTGGCGTCTTCTGTGTGTTGCTTCTCTTCTGTCCTCCTTTTCCCCGGATTCAGCGCCCGCTACGGACACTGGCATAAGAACAAGGCTCCCGGGGAGTACAGGAGTGGCCCCCGCCTCATCATCTTCATCCTGGGAGGCGTGAGCCTGAACGAGATGCGCTGCGCCTACGAGGTGACGCAAGCCAGTGGGAAGTGGGAGGTGCTAATAGGTGAGTCCAGCTCCATTGGGCCAGGCTTGGTCCCGTCTCGTTCCTGCCGGCTCCATTGGGCGCGTCTCCCCCGGCCCGCCTCCCCGCCTTGCTTCCCCCTCCCCATCTGCATCTACCTGGTGCAAAATCCAGTCTCCAGACACCTTCCAGCAAGCCCCCTCTGAGCCCCACCAACCCCCTGGTGCTTCTTCGAGCCCTCATCCAGCCTGATGGTCCTCAGGGGCCACCCGGGCTCGGCAGAGCAGGCCTGTTGCAAAAGCAAGCCCCTTCTCCAGCTGCCTTGTGAGAACAGCCTTGCCCCCAGGTGGGCCTAATGACCCCCCCCCCCCACAAAGGCTTGCGGCAGTGGAGGCTGCCCGCCTTCTCCACGGGGCATCCTGTCCCACTCAGTTGGGGGATGAAACTAGACATCCCAGGATTCCTGGCACGATCAATACCTAGGTATGCTGCTTTCTGCCAGGGAGGAGTCCCTGCCTTCCTCTCCCACATCCAGCCCGCTTCTTGTGTTTTCAACATCTGTGGCTCCAGTGCTGCCCCAGACTTCATTAAGTTAAGGTTCCATTTGGATCCTTAAAGCCCTTCCTGACAGGACCCCGAGGGTGTGGAGTGGGCTTCCCCGAGAGGTCATTGAGGCCCCGTCAGTGCGGGTGTTCAAGGATGGGCTGGACGTCCACATGGTGGGCATGTCATGAGCGGAGCCGGCTGGAGCCGGACGTCAGACTAGATGGCCCGGGAGGCCCCTTCTGACTCGCGCTGGTTCTGTGTTTCTAAGTTACTGATTTTCGATATGGCTCCAGAGCTGAAGCGCTCAAGCAGCAGAAGCCATGGTTGTGGCCCCTTTGACCCGTGGAGCAGGTGAGGGAGTCATCTTGCCACCCCTTCGCACTAGACAGGAAAAGCAGGTCCGCTAGCCCTGACTTTAGCTTTAATCTCAAGCAGCGCCAGGGCAGGTCTGTCCCCAATGGTGAATGGAGGGTCTTGTGTCGGACCCCTTCTCCCTGCAATTAGAAAGCTAGCATCATGGAGGGAGGCCAGCCTTGGCATGTGGGGGTGGGGGACACCCTTTTCACAAGAGCACTGCTCTTCCTTGGAAACACAGGGGGCACTTGGTGATGTTCGGTGCCACCAAACAGTCCGATGCAACTCTCAGATGCCCTGTGAGGCATCCGAGGAGCGATTTCCGTTTACCTGAGCAAAATGCCTCCACATAACTTCAAACATAGTCCCAGCTGCTCGCACAGCTTCTGAATTTCCTGAATGCCGTGTTCTGAATTTTCATTTCCTGAATGCAATGCTAGGGTCCATAATGCAAGGACACCCCCCCCCCCAATGACTTCCCATCCCACTAAATCTGTGGATTGGGGGCATTACCTTCCCTCCCCCAAGCAACAAATTCTGCAAGTTTTAACCCACACGGCGCAGGCCAGAAACTCCGATTAATTGCACCAGCCAGGTAGTGGCTTGTAGTGGTATCCCGGGACTTAGAAAAAATTAATAACGCGGGTGTTGACGAGAGCCTGCTTGTGCTGACAGGAGAAACCCATTGATTACTCCCTGTACCACCGCGCTTACTTTGATCCCTTGCAGTCTGCAAGTCTCCCACTCTTATCTGTTCACTGGATTTTTCCCTGCTTGGCACCCCCCCACCCCAACGCCTTGTGCAGCTGCTCAGCTCTGTTGCATCCCATTTCTCTGTGCATATGTGGCAGGTAACTTTTAAAAATGAGCTTCTGATGTCTACCTTTTTCCGGCACCTTCTTCCTCTCTGCAATCTGTAATACCTGCATGTGTGTTTTTTAATGTTTGTCACGGCACCATCTCAACCTTTTTCTGGGGGGCAGCATTCTGGCTCCAGGCCCCTTGCCATGTTGAACTGCCCCTATTCCTCGCTGCAGTCATGTCGGTTTTCATTCGTCAGGGACGTAAAACCCAGCAGAATTAAAATCAGCAAATAGTATAGACAAGACCGGTGAACAAGCCATCGAAAACCGAGCCAGCCAAAAGAAATCGAGGGGCAAAAATGGTTTTGAGGCAGGAGTGCTAGATTTCAAGCACAGGGGCCGCACCAAGCTCACTTGGGGTCCCAACTCAGCTGTGTGTTCCCATCTCCCCCTTTCACTGAGCCCCAATTATTCAGCAGCTTCCTGGCTTTGGCAGACCACGTCCAAAACCAAATTGGGTGCTTGGGTTGAGAGAGATTCAGCATACCTCTTTTAAGGCTAGCTCTTCGCGGGGTCTGGGCAGGCACCTTCATTCACACCCATGTTATGGTGCAGTTATTACTGGAGCTTAGCTGAAATCTCTTTCCCTTTTGGGGGGAAGAGGGGAATCTAGGATGTGACTCCTTCTCACCCTATTCCCTAGAAATAGGAGGCCACTTTTCCCTACCCTTTTTGTGGGAAGAAAACAGTGGCTGGGCAATGTGTTGGCTGCTTGCAGAAGTAGTGAAGGCAAGACTCCCTCCCTCCTCGGCGCGGATGCTGCATTGGGTCCTTGCCTTGAGAAACCTTTGGCAGAGTCTTGGTGGGCAGAAACCGGCTGGTGATGGCTTTTCCCACCAACACCCATCCTTGCAAAGAAACACTTCTCTGAATTTCTACCTGTTGAGCAGCAGCTGTGAACACAGGACCTCTGGCCAAACTAGACATTTCAATGCCACATGCCTGGTGTGTTTGGTTTTTGAAAAAGCCCCTTGGGAAGGGTTGATCGGGACTGTAAGTGCGGATTTGAACCTCCTACCTCCAAGCTAGAGCAGCCTTCCTGAACTGGAAGCTCTACCACTGTGCTGGTGTCAGATTGGAGACACCTAAGAATGGGGATAGGGCAGGGTATGGTGTCTTCAGAGAGATGCGTTGAACGAAGCGGTGTTCATGTAGCTTGTCCTGTTGCATAACTAGCTTTGAAAACCTCAGTGGGGAAGGTGGAGTTGGTGAATCCCAGTTAGACTGTGCAAGGAGGACGGGGGACTTCAGCTCTTGGAGCCCACGATGGCTTTGGTCAGGATCAGTCCCCCTCACGCTTGCGACCTGCAAAGGAGAACAAGGTAGGGTGATTTTGATGGGGACCAAGGCGGACCAAGGCATGGTTCCCGTCTGGCTTCGCTACTCACCTCTGGGTAGTTTGAAAACCTCAGTGACGCAAGGGTTGTGATGACTGCTGCAACCCAGGCCGTCTGCCGCATTTCCCTGCATGCCGCAACGCTTTCTCGCTTGTTTGTCCATCCGCGTCGGGTCCATTCCTGCCTCTTGGCGTGTCTCCATCTCACGAGCTCCTTCACACATCCTCACTGGCTTTTGTACGGATAACCTCGGGCGATATGAAATATGCAAGGCCTTGAAATCTTTCCTTCTGACTGTGGCTTTTTTTTCTTTGCAAGAAGTCAGTCCACACTCTGTTCTCTCACAGGTTCTACTCACATTCTTACTCCCAACAAATTTCTCATGGATCTGAGGCACCCCGAATTCAGAGATTCCACTAGGGTCTCTTTTGAGGAGCAGACTCCAACAATGGAATGAGAGGCAAAGATAGCAAAAAGTAAAAGCAGCTTACTACCGAAAAGAAACTCTTTCCCCCTTGGAAGGGCTTCTTTGCTTCCTACATCACCCCTCTCTCTGTCTCTGTCTCTCTCTCTCTCCCCTTTTCCACTTTTGGGTTCTTTGGATGAGAAAATGCTTGCAGTTTTTAAAACTACGATTCAGAAAATGTGCCCAATTCTGCTTCCATCAAACCCTCTACCATGATTCTTTCTTAGCCAGCACTTGCTGAAACTTCATGCCAACACCTACACATTTCTGGATGGTCGCCACCTTTATTTAGAAATGGGTCGGTGGAGAAAATTCTATTTGACCTACCACAATTCCCGCACCCAAATTGAATTACCTGGTGATGCTTTTGCATGTCAGTACAGCTCTGAGTTGGTCTGAGACTAGTTTTAAATGCCATCTGGCCCGAGGATGTTGAGAATTGGTACAAATGCTGAGAATTATTTGAGCTTTTATTTTAAAAGATACTTAGGCAATAAGCTTGTCTCCAAAGAACTGATCCAAGCTATACTTATGGAGCTTTAGGATTCAGTTGGTGCTGAGCCACCACTGTACCCAAGAAAGTAATGAGCACCTTGCAAAATTATCTGGCCAGGGCGGCTTATTTTATATTGTATTTTTGTATTTTTAATTTAATGCTTATATTTTTTAATTTAAGATTATAATTATTTTAATTTATTGTTGTAAGCCGCCCCAAGGCTTCGGCGAATGGGGCGGCATAAAAATGTTTTAATAAATAAAATAAATAATAAATAATAAATAATGCAGCACCTCGCCTATGGAGCTGTGGAAACTGTCCAAGATATGGGCTCTTCCCAAGAAAGGCCGTGTTGGGCTGGGACTTGGGAGAGGCCATTTCTGGTCCTCACTCAACCCTGAAGCTCCCTGTGCAACTCTGGGCCCGTCGCAGACTTTTTCAGCCCAACCCACCTCCTAGCTGGTATTGGAGGAGAAAATGGAGAGGAGAACCTTGTAAAGTCACATTGGCTTCCTTGAAAGATTAAGAAAGGCTGAGCAATGCAATGAAGGATCTCTCCACTCCATCACAGGTGCCACTTCTGTCCCACCACTTCCTTGTTTGCTTACTGTTCTGCCTCCGGCCTGGTTTGTGCTTGTCACAGAATCCAGTGGTAAAGTATCATTTTAGGCTCCAGGTGAAGGTGCACCATTTTGCCATGTAAAGGTGGGACAGCGGCTCTAGTCTAGCCCTTTGCCTGTTTCCTAGCAGGACTTTATTTTCAGTATGGAGAAATATGTGAGGGAGCCCCTGAAAATAAAATGTTACGGGATGCTTTGAGGGCTGGGTAGACCAGAGCCTCTCACGGCTGACCTGAAATACAACATTTGGCAAGGAGGAGAGGAAGACGCATACTTAAGCAATTGGGACAGCACGGTCCCTCTAAGAAACTTGCAGTTTTTTCCCTCGTGGCTTTGCCTGAAGAATCTTGTCTCAAGCTGGAAGGCGAGCCCCTGTCTCAGTGAGGTGGACTGCACCCATCTAACTGGCAGGCTGGTGCTCTCCGAAGTCCTGAGCAGACGCGTAACCATCTCAAATGTGAGAGGTGTGCCGATTGTTGGTTGGCTGCTCAGTTAGAGATCCCAGAAGCCCGTCTTGTGCAGGCCTACTCAGAAGGGTCTGTGCCGTTGGAGCTTTATGCCCTGCCCAAACCAATTCTGTTTGTTTCATGGCAACTTGGGGGGCAAAATTCATGAGAGCCCAGAGCGCTGATGCAAACCAGAAGAATCCTCCTGGTGTTTCCTTGAACCCAGGGACCGTGCCTGCACCATGGCTGGAGCAGAGCCCCTTGGTGATCTTGGAAGGCCATGACCTTTGGCTTGGTACTGGGGAATATCGATTGTCTCTTCTAGGGTCGTTTCCCCCTGCTCAGCCGTAGGGAGCTGTGCTGCCTGGTGAGGGGCGAGATCCCACTGAAATTCCCCGATGCATCCATGCGACCTGCGCTCAGACTATCACGGTGGGATTCTTTTGTGTTCTTCTCCACGACGCACGTTTTGCTCAGGGGTATTTACAAGTCTGGCCTTCAGCAACACTCTTCTCGTCCAGCCTCGTCCACTCTTCTCCATATTTCAGAACAACGCACATTTTCAACTACAGTCAATACCGCTTTAATTTGACTCTTCTCCCCTCCCCTAGATAAGAGGGGAGAGGGTGCCTCTTTGTCCCGCGGCCCACCTCTCCCCATGCATGCGCAGGCCTCATGCTGCACGCAGCCACATCTCTCTCTCCGCACTTGATGCCGGCGTCCATGGCTCCCCCGTGGAGGGCTCAGTGGGGCTCATGAACACCTCATGCCTTCACTGCACTTCCTTCTTGGAGAGAGATCTCCATGCGGAATTTTTGGTTTGGTTTGGCTTTCCTTTCAATCTCCTCTCCAGTTTTTGTTGTTCTGCACGAGATGTGCTTGTAGTTCCATAGGCTAACATTTTGCAAGCATTTCTTCCAAGTTCTATAAAACACATATCTATATCTATCTTTCGGTGTGCCATCCACGGAAGGTAAGATGTCGAATGGCGAACGTGAACTTCCCACTTCCATCTCCATAGCAGTATCTTACATGTGGGAGGGGGTCCCATCTTAACGGGTCCACAGATCTTGCCTCCATGCCCCCCTGCCCCTCTTTCTGCCTTCCTGGGGAACCCCTGGGCAGACTGGATGGTCCAGTTCTGCTTCACTCCTTTGCAAAGATCTTAATGTCCGAGAACAGCACTGTTCCTTTGCAGTATGAGTGGGGCACAGTTTCCCCACACAATGGGTGGGGCAGCCCTTCCCCCTGAAAACCCCCATCCTGGGTCATAACCCTAACCCACCCCCCTTGCACTAATATTTTCCCCTCTCCCTTTCTTGAGACCCCTTTTGGAAAGCTAATAACTCTGTCTTGTCTTCCTTTCCCTTCCTGCCCCTTTGCAGGGTCTACCCATATCCTCACCCCACAGAAACTGCTGGACACGCTCAAGAAACTGAATAAAACGGAGGAAGAAAGCAGCAGTTAGAAACAACACATATATACACCATTCCTTTCCTCACTCCTCAAAGCAGTGACATTACTTCTGTGTTTCCCTCCATCCCAGCTCTGCACAGCGCTGCCTGAGCTTGATCGGTTGGACATCTATCCATTTTTGTCCTCTTGTGTTTCGGTGGACCATTCCCTCTTCCCTATCCTTCCCTCCATCTCGTTCACCCTCCATTTTGAAGCAAGGGTAAATAAGACAGGAAAAATATGCATTGTGTCTGAGAAAAAAAATGAGTAATATATTGTATACTATAGATATTATCTCCATATGTATCTGATGAAATAAGCCGCCAAAACCAAACTACCATTTCCGAAGAACCCATCGCTTTGTCCTTGGCGATTATATGATGGTTATTTTTTAAATAATGTATTTTTATTTTTCCTCTCTGCCTGGATGGATGAATGCTCGTGACTTATATTTATGGCTATGTGATCTTGTACCTAAACTCAGATGCAAACTGTGAATGTTCTCCCCTATGCGTTGGAATTTGCTTGCAGTTTGGAAATACTGTAATTCCCCCTTCCTCACATGCGGCACCGCTGCTGGAATGGTCGTCTCTCTTTCGTTCTTGACTCCGTGTATTGTTGGTTGGCTTCTGGGAAGTGTTGCCATTGCGTTCGCTTTGCTTGCTTCCTGGCGCTTTTTGCAATTGGACGTTTTTTGGACCAACGCTCCTTAGGGTTTCTGCGATAGACGCAACAGCTGGTTGCTCCAGTGTCTCCTGTCTCGCTGCAGAGGGGTGCTTGAGAACCTACAGGGTTTCGAACTTGTGGAAGGCTGCTGGGCAAGCGGTGTTTTGGGCTTCCCATTTCACCGAGTTGTGGGTTTTTGTCAGACTAGTTAGTGCTACTGCAGCCTTGAAAAAGCAAAGCCCCCCATAGTGTCAGGCAAGCAACCAGTTTTTCAGGAGGGTCCTGACTATCCTAAGAGGAGGAGATGGAGAAAGAAAATGATGGAGAGGCTGCTGAAAGCGTTACACTCCCAATCTTCTTGTTGTTCCTGTTGCCCTCCTCAAAAAACAAAAAAGAGCTTCTTCGGTTTGAGTGAGACCTCCGGTTTGAAATCATCTCCCATTTCATGATGAGTTAGTCACACAGTTCAGCGGGTTGGTTATGCATTTGCGGTCCCTTAAAAGCAACGGAACAACAATGCAGAACTCCACACCAATGTTCAGAGGGTCTTTCCTTTACATGGCAACTAAAAATGGATCAAATCCTGCACGTTTGCGCCTTCTGCTTTAAAGGCGTGCTCAGTTCTGCTTTGTATAGTAGCCTCTCTCTGGTCAGGATGGGAAAAAGATCTTAATATCAACAAGGAGGGAGGGAAGTGTAATTGGGGGGAAATTGAAATGGTATGAAAACCTGAGCAATAGTCCAGTCAAAGTAAGAACAGTTCCGTACCCCATTGTGTCCAAAAGAGAGCGCTTTTACATGTGTGGACAATTATTCCTATGCAAAGCATGGAATTTGAAGAGCAGGAATTCTTAAGCTTTCCGTTGCTTGGATCATTTCCTCCCGCACAACCACTGACGACAGAGTTCCTCTTGGTTTGGGTTTTTCCATGCACTCTTGGGGTGTTTCTTTGCTTCGATCTTTTTTCTGTCGTTGTCCAATAGAGAAATATTTCTGGTTGTGGCAGGTGCCCTCCCCATTTCAAACCCCTTCTCCTACTGCAGACTGGATATATATAAATTAAATAATTGTGTCTCGTGACGTACTTGCAAGCTTGGAGTAAAGTGATTCAACTCAGTCCTTTTTACATTGCTCTGCATTTTACTTCCAACAATGGCCGTGTTAGCTACCTGTGCTTTTATTTATTTAAAAATATTGTTTTGCTTTTGAGGGAAATGTTACTTTTGTTCTCTTGCTGTCTTTGATTGTTCCCCTTCCCATATATCCCAGGGCATTGCTCTTCTCTACCTAGAACAATCTTTCTCAATCAGGTGACCCTCCCAATTATATAGGAAATCCGACACATTGGGGAAGGTTGTCCTACATGTTCAGTAAAGAGAAGATAAAAAAAAAAAACCCTCTTTTTAGTCAATATTATTCTTGTGCTTCATTTGCCTCTTTTTCCTTGCCTGTAATGTTATATATTCTTTCATATATACGTGTGTGTTCATTTTGCACTGGTAACCTTTTCGTCAGCCCCCCGACTGATTTTTTCCTGCATCCCCCTTTCTGAAATTAAGCATTGCAACTGCTTCGGGTTTTAGACATGGCTCTATTTTTGTTGTTTTTATCAGTTATTTATATTAAAAATAATACTTTATCGAATGAAGGAAAGAATATGAATAGTTTTGGTTGCTGACGTCGTTTTAATTCTCGAACCTTTAATGTGTGGAACTGTCGAAGCACAAATGTGTCATCTCTGTATAGCTGTCCTGTACTTCAAAAGCACTTGGGAGTCAATAAAAAATGCTGTTCTGTCCCACTGAAGGTCCCTTGATGGCAGGGTCGAGTCAGAAGGAATACCCTGTAGGATGACCACTACACAGTGTGGTTTGGGCACGTGGGGGTCTCTGCCATTCTCTTAGGGGGCAGGGGAATGCCCCCAGGGGAATGCTCCTGCCCCTCAACTCTTCCCAGACTGTATTCTGTTTCATGCACAGATCACTGGCCTGTAGGACACGTTCCCGCGGTCCCAAGGGCCATTTGGCTAAGCCAGTGGCAGTTTCCGGCCCAGGAATTCTGCTCCACCAGCCCCTGGCGTTCGCTCTACCTTAGCTGCTCCGTGTATCTTGGTCGCCCGGAAATGACTTGGGTCACCTGCCAAAGGTTCTTCCCGCTAAGGAGGGGGTCTTCCCAACAGCACAGAGGGGCACTTAAGATTTAATGGGATGGGTCTTTTAAAGAGGGTCCTTCCCTGTGCCAGACCTTTATCAAGAAATTGCACAGTGGCCTTGCAAGTTTTAGTGGGTGGAATTAATGGGAAGATGAGGACAGTGGCGGCTTGTAAAAAGGCAAGTGGGGTGTGCAGAAAACCTGCTGTGTGGAACTCGCCTCTCCAGTGATCCAGCCCCACCGGTACATCTCCTTATTCAGTTTCCTATTTTCCCTACCCATTACAACCCACAGCCCACATTCAGGACCCACTCAGCCTGATCATCACGGGACTAATTTGAAGGTTCTCCCTTCCTCTGGGGCTTTTGATTAGGGTCTCTTCGTTTTCCTACAAATGCTGGTGTTTCTCTCGGACTGTTGATCCTAAATAGATCCTCCATGTACAGCAGCAGTCTACCTTTGGATGGGATGCTGAGGACCAAGCCTCACTGCTTTTGGGCGTCACTGTCAGAAACAATGCTGGGCATAAAGTGACTTCTTAGCAGCTCTCACACACTAGCGGGGTGCCAACGACAAGCACCTCTCTGTGATTCCCGTGGTGCATGGTTCTTCACCATGATCTACTGGACAGACAGACAGGTGGTTTCTACACTAGTGTGGTCTCCATTCTCCCTGCTCAGTCCTCCAACCTCCCAAGTCAACCCCAAGATGCATTGCTCCCTGCTTACCTCATTCTCCTTGGTCCGGACACACAGGCGGGTTGGCTGGAGAGGCTCCAGGGCTCGCCGGTCTTTCCAGAGGAGTCCATGGAAGTTGCATCCCTGGAACATGGAAAACACAATCTTGAATTCAGAGAACACGGCGAAACACAGAATAACTTTGCTTCTCATGATGGTTTCTCGAGACCAAACTTACCATGGTGAAATAACACAACTGGATTCGGACGAGGCAGATCAACAATGGTTCGGCATTGCTTGTGTTGTCTGAACTCAGTTTGTCATACCCGCGCATGTACAAAATTACATTTTTTTTTTTACAAGTTACAAAATTACAAATTACAAGATTACAAATTACAAAGCCTCTGCACAGAATTCTTTCAGCCTTTCAACTTTTTTAAAAAGAAAACGCTAACATAAACCTAGAAACATTTATTTAGGAAAAAATATCTTTATACAATAGATTTCCTGGGTGACATGATTTCAATAATAAAAAAGGATCTGCTACAATAGTTCCCCTTTCACAGTTTTGTCGTCATCTCACTAACAAAACACGCACACACATTCCCCTGCAAATACACACCCCGGTTTCAAAATGTCCTTTGTGGCTGGCTGGCTGGCTAGCTAGCCTGGGCAGCTTTTCCTAAGCTGTCTTCCAGCCATGTTGGACTGGAATTTCCACCCGTCCCGGTCAGCATGGCCCTTGCGTCACGCAGTCCTAAACGTCGACTCCGGTATAAGGCCCTTGGCAAAGGTGAGGTGGTTGTACTCCAGGCACATTACGAGAAGGCAGAACTTGCTGGAAAAGACAATCATGCTAAGGAAAGTTGAGGCAGGAGGAGGAGAGGAAGAGCAACAGGGAGATGCATCGATTCTGTGAAGAAAGCCATGGCCTTGAGCTTCCGAGAGCGATGGAGGATGCTCGAGGTCAGGGTGTCCGTACACGCAGAGGACTTCACAGTGCAAGCCCCAAGGAGAACCTGCACATTTCAAGTTGCAATTGAGACCCCACAGAGCCTGAAAGAAATCCTCTCCACCCTTGATCTCGTCAAAGCAGCTTCTCCTGTTTTAAGCTCTGTGAAAATGCGGGCCCACGAGATTTTTTACCTTGTGTCTCACGGGAAAGAGATCCCAAACCGGGCTGATCTCTCTGCGGGTGGGCAGAGAGGGAGAGAACAGCAGTGCTGCTCTGCCCATGCCCAGGAGCATGGCTGCAGGCAGGTAGGCCATGCCGCCATGAAGAGTCCCGAGTTAAGAGTTGGTTCCAGGCATGCTGGGTCTACGTGGACCAACGGCCTCCCTTCTATATGCTTCCTACCTCCACATTCAGGGCTGCAATACATCCCAGAGAAAATCAAATAAGTTAAAGCAATCTGAGTGGGCTAAAAAGGGTGCCCACCATTAATGGGGCCGATAGAATTACAAATATCACACACCCTTTTTTAACTGAAGTACCAGTACCTTTAAGTCAGTATTCCCTTTTATAAACGGGGGGGGGGGGGGGGGGGAATGTCCTTACTAAAGCAATCCTTATTGATGCAAAAACCTGCAAAGAAATTATGACTCTTTTATCCCTCGGATACATTTAAGATCCAGATGAATCAACGATCGACAAAGAAGAGTGACCCCCCCCCCAATTGCTTTTATGTAACACAGGACCCTACGGGATTTGGCTTCACATGTGCAACGAGTAGAAACATTTCTCAGAAAAATATACATCTCTCTAAAACTTATTCCCCCCCCCTTTGCAAAATCAATCCCCTCTTACACACACACACACTCACTCTCCGCACATGACCTGAGATGAGTTTTACCACAAAGGGACAAGATGCCGGCCCTAAGTTCTTAGGACTGACTTGGGACCAGTCCATTTCATTCTTTGCTGTCGCGGTACCTTGGATTCCATCTGCAGTGAAGAATGGAGGTTGCCAGGAAGCGTCTGCCATTAGCCTGTGCTTGTTCAAAGATGGCTTTCGTCAGAGGAAGCTAAGGTAGGAAATATTCTTCAGCAGAAGCAGCAATGATCCCTGGCCAACCAGCCTTAAAACATTCCTTCACATTCCCTGGATTCCTGGCCAAAGCAGTGAAGAACTGGGGAGTATCAGCTGAGAAGACGCCAAACTCCATTTTTCTTGAAACTCTTCTCTTGTTAGAAGAGGCAAGATCCCTGCAGACTCCGTGAGTTAGTCAGCTCCCAAGACAGAGCCCTGCTTATCCGCTTTGTGGTGAGCTTCATGTCTTTGGCCGCTTCCACGGCACGGCTTAAAGCCCGATTCAGGTCCTGCTCCCTGGCGTCATCGTCGGATGAGAGGGAGCAGTGGTGGCCCCTTCGGGGCCGTGGCCAAGATGTCCACGCCTTCTGTCCCGTGTCCTGATGCCTGCTGGATCTGGAAACGGGGAGACCAGCCGGGGAGGAATCTGAGGTAGCTGCCGGTGGTGGACAGTAGCTGGAAAGGAAGAGAGGCAAAGACTCCATAAAGTATTTTATATTGTTATTTTTATATTTTATACTGTATTTTTCTTTATGTTGTGAGCCGCCCCGAGGCTTATAAATGTTTTAATAAAATAAAATAAATATTTAATAATCTTTATAAATAAATATAAATAAATAAATAAAGCTCACCCGATAAAGGCAACCCTTGGCCAAGCGGAGTGCTTCGCGTAGTCCAGCACAGCTTGCTCTTATTTAATTAATTTATGGATTTATATCCTGCCTTTTTCCTACAAGGGGCTCAAGGCAGCTTACATCATGCTCCTCCTCCATCTTACCCCACAACAACAACCCTGTGAGGTAGGTTGGGCTGAGAGTCTGTGACTGGCGCAAAGTCACCCAGTTGGCTCCATGGCAGAGCAGGGACTAGAACCCAGGTCCCCTGAGTCCCAGTCCCGCACTCTTCACCACTGCGCCACACTGGCTCTCACAAGCGATCCCTGGATCTCGGGCCAGAAGGTGTTTCCCACCTCTGCAAGTACTTCATGGAAAAGAAAGGAGGCGGGTGCCACCACCCCGCAGTCCTAGGACAGCCTGGTGCCTCTCAGACCCCATGGGAGATGCTTTCCATGAGCCTCAGCCAGCGAGACCTGTGGTCATGGCGGGGGGGGGGGGGAGCTGGAGTCAAAAGCTTTTGCCAAGTCCTGGCTTTTGATCTTGCGTGACCAAGCCTGCATGATCTTGCTAGTAGGTTCAGGGCAGAGGCGGAAAAGACCCATGGCTTCACCCACCACCACCGGCTTTCAGGATGCCAGAAGGCAAGCTGCAAGACCTCCACGAGGAAAAGTGAGAAATGGGACCTGCAGCGGAGTGTCTCGGTGTCTCCGCACCACCCGGCAGTCCTCTCCTTTGGGCTTCTGGCTGGCCGGACAACCAACCATGTAAACCCGGGGTCCTGCTACATGCCTGTGGACACCAACTCCCACCCCCGTCAGCACGTCAAGGAGGATGGGAGCTGTCCCGAGGACCCAGGCTTTTGTTCATGCCCAGCTGACACACAGTACCCTGCAGCTGATGAGCAGGACCAGTCCTCATCGGGCCACACGCACGGGCAGCCACGGAAATGGCCTGATGAGGACTGAGCCTGTTTGGGCCCTGGGGTGACCCTGGAGACCCTGCTGTCTGGTTCTGGTTGAGATCGGCCAGTTGCAAGGGATGGCCTTTGATGGTGGCCCCTTCTCCTTGGAACATGGAACGTTTGCAATGGTTTTTCATTGTCCAGGGCCAAGGGTAGCTGGGCCCCTACTTACATGACAGGCGACAGAGGATAAGATGCCAAGGGGACCGTGGAGATGTAGCCAATCGAGGTAGCCGGAGTCGGGGCGGCCCAGTACCAGAGGCCGGGCTGTTGCGGTTGATGGTGACCGCCAAGTGTCACCACGCCAGAGCGTTGTGCTGGGGGATTGTCTCTGCCGTCCTCCTCCCCTGATGGAGAAACGAGAACACAGGATAGAACTGGAAGAGGGGATGCGAAAAAGCACAGAGCCACAGTCTCCTCCCCGAGAGCCACCAGGACAATTTAAACCTTATAAGCAGTGTGGGCAAGGCACAGCCTACTTTCTAGTCATTGGTTCATCTGGGGAAAGCGGGCAAATTTTACCCAAAATGTTCCTCCACTGTGAGAAAAACGCCAGGCTTGGGAGAGAAAAAGAACCGATGTGATATTTTAAATGGGGTGAAAGTGCTTAGGGTCCAGGACAAAGACGGTATTGTCAGGGGTACTCCCAGGCACTTAGAAGAGTCTGTCTTCTCCTCTCAAACATTACATCTGCCTTTACCTCGTCGTGCCTTCTCTTACCGTGCAGAGTTCTGCTCCTGGGATTCCTGGCGTTGTTGCACAGAGAGCATGACAGCACTTTGGTCTTCTTTCGAGTGCTGTGCCGGGCGGTTCTGAAAACATCCCTTGGGGAGCTGGAGCCTGCGAAAGGACAAAGCTTATCAGGATACAGAGCTTCCCTCCTCGAACAATGTGCCCAGAATCACAGTTTCAGAGAGCATCCATGTTGGAGATTACATGAGCAGAGCCGGCTTTAGCCGGGGGTCAGACTAGATGGCCCCTTCTGACTCACTTTGTTTCTGGGTTTCTAACCAGCGTTATAAAGCAGTAAGATGCAGGGCAGTGATCCATCTGCATTTGATTCTCCCTTAGCCTCAGAATACCGTGGGCCTCTCTCACTTGCATTCCTCACACATACTCGTCCTCATCCGTAAATGTAGAATGATTCTACTTTCTTGGTTTACAATTTTGTGCTAAGGATCCCGGAAACAATTGGCCACTATCTGCAGAAAGTTATCCGTCACTGACTTATATACAGGCTTTTGGTGGCACCATGAACATTCTTAAATGGAGATGTACAGAAATAGTTAAGAGCAAATTTGTCTTACCTAATCTAACCCTCTGCACCACCCACTTCCACCCTGATGGCCTCCAGATGTTTGCACTTCAGTTCCCATCTGCCCCAGGCGCCATGTCCAATGCTGGGAGCTGTAGTCCAAAACATCTGGGGAGCACCAGAATGGGAAGGGCTGCTCTGCACCAAAGGTCATTTCATCATCCATCCACCCATCATAGCCAACGTTCGTAATTCCCTGATTCAAAACGCAAATCTCAGCCATTCGTTCCAGTTGCTTGCAGTCCAAGCCAGAAAAGAAATCTTCCCCAAGCCTCAATCACACGAGCGCAATCCACGGCCTACACACCATGACCACCCAACCCTGGTGGATCGGTACCTCCTTTGCTCTCCGTGGCACCTGCCTCCCCCGCAGAAGCTTCCCTGGGCCGTGACGGAGCATCTTGGCAGGGGGTGGGCTTGCCGGGGGCTGCCGGTTCTCGTGGCTTGGGGGCTGACAAGAGGTACTGAGCTCCTGCGGAGTCAAAAACAAGACAGCTTTAACCGGTGCTTCCCTGGTCTTGAGAAAATAGCTCTGTGGACGTGAGGCCCCGGTCCAGCTCAGTGGGTGGGGTGGGGACTGCTGCCCCCTGGGACTCCCGCAGGAGATCTGTGTCGGTCGGCGCAGAGAAGGCCTGTGGGACCGTCCCTCACCTGTGTAAGGCCCTCGGAGGATGCTCTGGTTCAGGGGGCTTGTCCAAGGAGCTGAGGCTTGCCGTGGTCTTCCCTTCCGAGGCTTTGGTAGCGAGGAGTCCAACTCCGAAGGGGCTGGGAAAGAAGGAAGGAAGGAGTCAGCAAGCAAGCACTGTTCATCAAGACAGAGGGAGGTGTACTTCTATCAAGCTTGGGACTCTCTTTATTATTGGCTAGAGAAATGGGACTTCACGTAGATTTAAATATGTTTTTAAGTTATCATGAATGGAAAAAGAAGGGTGTGGGGGCTGACCCAGCGGGCCCGATGTGTTTGATGATTGATGTTGTTTTTAGTTTTTTCCTTGCTTTTTTAGGATTATAATTTCAATTTCAAATAAAACTTATTTTTTTAAAAAAAGAGGGAGGTGTATGAGATGGAGAACGGGGGGCGGGGGGAGAGGACACAGTCAGAGTGGCTGAAACACGATGGATGAGCACTCGACGTGTAGTGCAGAAAGGCGTACATCCTTGGACCAGTATTCTGCTCAAAGAAGCCCACCGGAAGCAAAGCAGGGCTCTGCACAGCTCCCAGCAGCTGGTTCCTGGGACACCAGCATCGTGAGGACTGAGGGCCAGCGTCGCCCTCCGAGGACAGGAGTCACCACAGCCAGCCCTACCCAACCCCAGTAGAGCTCCTCGCCCTACAACCCCAGAGTGACCCTACAACCCCCAGAGTCCCTCCTCAAAAAGCTGTGACTTACAGGCATCTTGCTGGCTCCCAGCCGGGGGTAGCAACTGTCTCCCTGCTTGTGCTTCTGGCTGGACTGTCGAAGCCGGATGCTGAGAAATCCCCGTCTTGCTAGGGGTCGAGCCGGGGAAGCAGTCAGACCTGGAACGTGAGGAACTCTTTAACGCACAACGCACCGTTCCTTTCACCACCGCTGCAAACCCAGCGCCCCTCTCCGCAAGGTGGTGGAAAAGGCGGGGGCTTCGGCAGTCTTCTGCCCGCACATCCCACCACAAGCCCTGCCCTGTCTCCTGCAAATAGGCCATTTTTAAAAAAGCTGAATTCGTTTCTGCAAGAAACTAAGGCCGGGGCCAGCACTGTACTCCTTCAGACACCGGCTGAAGACCCATTTGCCCTGTGCTTAGTTTGAAGGGTGAATCTGCTGGGTTTGTTTTTAAATTTGTCGCTGCTACCATTTGAATTGTAAATTTACAGTGTTTATGTTGGTTGTCAGTTCTGCTGCATTGTTGGATTAATGCTTATATCCCCTCGCTGTTTATGAATGTATCATTTATTTATGTTATACTACTATCAGTAGTTGTATACTTAATTTTATTGGTATTTTTATTGTGTTGTCGTATTGCATTCCTTGATTGTATGCAAGCTGCCCAGACACCCCATGGCTAATTGGGTGGCATATAAACCAAACAAACAAACCAATAAATATTTTGCAGTGTGGAAGTGTTGGTAAGTGAATGCTCACCACTCACTCTGTTGTGCCGGGGCTATTCCAGCAGAAACAGGTCAGTGAAAGGGGCTAGTCCTCACAAGTTTATAAAATAGACCAATTTATCTGTCATGGCTTCCCCCAATAAATCCTGGGAGTTGTAGTATGTTGGCTTCCATCCCATAATGCCAGCAGCAGATGGCAAGGAAGAGTGTAGGTTTGTATGGTACAAGGTCCCTTTTCCAGGAGACCCAAGAAACCTGGCAGGGGTCACAATGGGCCTCTCATCCAAGCATCCCTCTAATTTTGCCCCCAGCCTGGGACTCCAAGCAGTACAAAGCAGCCAGGACTAACTTAATTTCCCACAATGCCCTAGAGTGTTACCAGGGCATCATGGGAAATGCGATGATTCCAAGGGCAGAGTGGGGAATTACAATGGAGGCTGTTCAGATCATGGATGCCCAAGGTGGTCCCCATGGCCACCACCAGCTGTGACAAGCCACAGGCTTTGAGGAGACCACCAGAGAGAAATTTGCGGAGGCCTGCATCTGTCCCTCTTGGCTGCTCACCCCTTTAGAGCGGAGCTTGTGCAGATGCGGCTGCCGCCTGGGAATGCTCTCTGGAACCTCGTGGCACACGGGGAAGATGGCTGCTTGGGATGAGCGAAAGGCCCCCGGAGGGTCTCCTCGAGATTTTGGCGCAGCTGCGAGACTTCATTCTGCAAAGCCACGATGGCCTGGCTGGGTGGGAGAAGTGAAAACACCAGGTCAGAAAATACACCAGAAAATACACAGGAACAGGCTTACAACTTCAACTGGACAACACAACCTTTTCTATAGACTCTTTTTTATACTCTGCATTAGGTAAACCGAGTCCAAAGGAAGAAAGAACAAAGGATAAAGCATGCGGGTTTTGCTAACTGAAAACACTTGCCCATTCTCTTCTACGCAAATTAATTTATGCTGCTTCTTACAAACTATTTCGCATAATTGGTTTCTGCTTTGTCTTGTAATGAAATGCAGCGCACATCCAGAAACACTGGCAGTGCTAGGGAAACCGCCAGCCACTGTGATGTCAACAGGAACCTCTTGGCCTGTTTTCAGCCATAGGGACTAGCATCTTGCCTTTTTAGTTTTGAAAAAAGGAAACCACACACTTTTGCAAAGTTCACCCCACACTTTTGTAAGTTCAGCCACAATGTGTGCTTTTTCTTACGTATCTCAAGGAAACTGTGGTGGTTCTGCTCATGAAAATCGGAATCGGAATCTGGCTAGAATCAGAAGAGCAGGGCAGGGCAGGCTGCCCTCCCTCTTCCTGGAGAGGCAGCCTTGTTCATGGTTATGGCATATTAATCTGCAAATGCCAACCAGCTGCAAATGGAAAGCTTCAGCTGCAGGAATTAACTCTTAAGAATACCAGAGAGTTTCCAGACATTTTGTCAAACGCAGGCTTGCCAGAGCATAGAAAATGTGCTCCACAGAGAGATAAAATCCAGCCATCTCAGATTACCCTGCCCAGAAGTAACTGCACCAGTTTGATTTTTTTGGAGTTGGGGGGTGGGGGCGTTATTTTGAAGAACATCACAGAAAAAGAGATGATAAGCTGAGACAGGGGAAGTGTAAGGCTGTAGATGAAGGGGAAAGATCCTCAGTCAGTCTTTTGTAGCTTGTAAATGGACGGGACATGGTTCCCATAACAGACACGTACAATTACATTTCAGGAAGTATTCTAATAAAGCCCGAGAACTGAATTAGGGGCTTGTCTGGCTTTTGTTGTCTTTGAGGGGCTTCGGATGAGACTTTGCTTGTGAAATTGCCCTGTCTGGTTTGTTTAATTGTATCTGGAGCTTGTGGGTCTGGGCTGGGTCCATAGGATGGCGTCTTCTATGGGTGACTCTCCAACTGAGAAGAAACAGGATGGAGAAAAAGACGGACGAGGTACCAAGACCTTGTCTGCATTGCAAAGGAGGGCTGGACTGGCTGATATCCATTTGTTTTAACTCGGACTGGGGCTCTTCGGCTTGCTGGCGGTGCACCTCTTTAATCGAGCAGTTTACTGAGATATTTTTGTGGGAAATACATTTTAATGGAAGCGAAGATACCCAATCAAGCCTCAAGAGGGGGCCAGACACCATACCAAGCACAAGGTAGTGAGAGCATCGGTTAAAAATCCAAGGGATGGAGGCAGATTTCGGTGGACTCGATCCATCAATTGAGATCAACTGGGGCTGAGGTTATGGACTTCTCATTGGTGCAACAGGGGGTGACAGAGAAAATCTGATGGCGCATGGCTGGCGGAACAGGGAAATGGCTTAAGCGAAATCGCAGCGGTTGAAGCCAAACTGGGACGCACACCACCGCTGCCCCCGTAGGAGAGATCTTTCACTGGGCTCAGCCCAACAGCCTTAAACTCAGAAGAACCAGCCAACAGAGCCCAGGCAGCAGAATTCAGCTTGAAGAACAAGGTGGCCATTCAGGATGGCGGCCATGTTCACTGCGGGGAAGTGGGGATTGTGGGAGTTGTGCTACGATGCACCCAGAGGAGGCCCAGGTAGGGGACCACAGCTCCAAAGCAGGAGTCCCCCTCACCCTTCAAATGCAGCCCGTGCCTCTTGACAGAACCGGGAGTTTTAAACCCCAAGAGAGCGTTTCGAGATGCCATTCGCCCTGCCCACCTTCTGCTCTCCCTGAGAGCGCCTCAGGCAACTTTCTATTTCCACCCTGGGTACAAAGAAGCCCTAATTCTGGAACGCAATCCTTCTTTCCCAGCTGAGGCAGTCGGTGTCTTGGCAACGTTGTCCATGACAACGCTCACCGTTGTTGGTCCAAGAGAAAAGGCCAACGGGGCAGAGGCTGGCACAAAGACACCGGCAGTGACGCCTCCTATCAAGTACAGAATCTGGCTAAAGTCCTGGCAACATATAGAAAAGTCTTGTGGAGGGGATGGATTCTGATAAAACCAAGTGTGGTCCAGCAAAGCTTTTCTGTAACCAACCCATCAGCTTTCCTCTGCTCCAAGATTTGCCGTTCTCACCCGGCGACTGCCCTCTTTCCCGCTAGAAGCAATTAAATTTGGACGTGTGTTCGATGGAGCACTGTTGGCGACGCCAGAAAACGGCACACGGGATCCATTAAGTCCCGAGCCTCAGAACTGTGGGGCTCAGCATCCTGGCATTGGAAGTGTGAGGCATTTTATACTGGGTGGACATGAGGATTCCCGGAAAAGAATGAAGCCCCCCCTTGGACGTGATGTCTTCCCACCCCAGCCGCCCCTGCTGGCGGCTCCCAAGGTCACACTTACTCCCGTTGCAAGCAGGAGTCCAGAAAGCTGGAACGGCAGCTTTGCACAGGGGAGAGAGAAGCAGCTGAGGAAGCAGGAGAAGGCTTCATTTCCCCAGGGGGGGTGGTGGTGCAGGTGGCCGCCATGTCATCTCCCTCGGCCTCCGAGTCGGCATGGGCTGGCAGAGAGAGAGAGAGACACAAGGACACAGTGAGCGCTGCCGTTTACAGCAAGGGCAGGGGATGTTCCTAATATGGGTACGGAATGAGAGACGGTTGAGGCCCCACTGGTGAGGGTGTTCAAGGATAGGCTGGACAGGCACACGGCGGGCATGTCGTGAGCGGAGCCGGCTGGAGCCGGGGTCAGACTAGATCGCCCTTGAGACCCCTTCTGACTCGCTCTGCTTCTTGGTTCCACGTTCCTAATACTGAGCGCTGCTTTCCCAGATGAGATGTGGGACAGATCGCATTGTACGTGGAAGCCCAAAGCGGACACGCCAGTGGGCGGAGCCTTCCCTTCCCGCCATCCACCCCTGTTCTCTCCCACCACCCTTTCTCACACACATGCCCCGTTCTTCGCTTCCTGTTCTCGGCCAAAAAGACCTCTCTCCCCAGAGCAAGACAGAGGGAGGGATGTGGGAGGGCAAGAAAACCCAGTTATATCCCGTGCATGCCCAGGTGCTCGTATGGCTAGATGGTTTTGCCAACGCTTTCCCAGAAAGGGTGGGTTTGTGGGCCGGGGAAGGATCTGAAGAAGCGCGAGAGAGACCATCACCAAAAGGCATTCGTGGTAGCGAGATGCTTGGTGGGACAGGAGGCCCTTGGGGACCTGAAGGCGGCAAGGGGCATGGAACGGGACTCCCCGTCCTTCCACTCACTCACTCACTCACTCACTCACTCACTCACTCACTCACTCACAGCAAAGAACTCACAGCTCTCCGTGCCTGGGTCCAGCTCACTCGCGAGGCAGCGTCTCCACTGGAGAGGGGAGCTTGTACAGAAGGGGAGGGCTCTGGGAGGGCTGCGCTTCTGAGGGCTGGGCAACACGTCCATTCCCCATGAGGCCATCGCCGCAGGTTGCTTCCTCGGTGGCACCCGCTGGAGGGCTGTGTCTGGTTTCCCCAGCTTGCTGCAGGGCCTGGACACGAGACAGAGATGCGGCAGCCCAAGCATACCTCCAGGCTTCTGCTCAGCTGCCTTTTCCTTCCCAACCCGCTCGCCAGCATCGTCCCACTCGATCGTCCCCATATGAAAAACCAAGGATTGCCAAGCCAGGTCAGACCCAGAGCAAAGCTTTGACCTGTTTTCTCAGAGAAACTAAGCAGCAGAAGAAAGTACAATCTAGCAGTACAAGTGGGACTTGCCATAAGATCATGCAGTTGAAGGTGTCTGGTGTTCCAGTGGGGCAGCCAGCCATTCCCTCTTCCAAGAGACTCCATTCCATGTCCCAACCCCCAGATCCACTGTTCCTCCTCTTCCTCCCCTTCAACAGTTACATATTATGGCCACTGAACAATGCTGACTTGTTCATTTTCCGCTTTAGGATTTTTGGTTCTAAGAATTCTTTAAACTCCTGAAAACCCCCCAAGCCTGCAGATGCCTCCTTCATGCATGTGGCCGGTGCCATTTTGACCATGTCTGTAGCCTTCACAACTGGGCATCAGAAACAAAGGAAATTATGCTGTGCCAAAGTTTTTATTTCTGGCCACCCAGGCTAAGAATCACCCAGAGATCTATGCTTTCCTGGTTTGCCTAGGAAGCACATCTAAGTCAGAAATACATTTCAATGACTTCCCTATAGAATTGGAACCCTCTTCTTTAATGTAAACCAGGCTTCCACAGCCTTGAGCCTTCCAGACACAGTTGGACTGCAACACCCAGCATTCCCAGTCAATGGCCCTGCTGGATGGGAATTCTGGGATTTGCAGGCTAAATGCCTCTGAAGACCACCAGGTTGGGGAAGGCTGCGGAATCCATCACTGTGGAACACAACCCAGGAGATTCACAATCCGTTTTCCCAACTTGTTTTAAGCTTCAAAGTTTGCAGCAATGTATAGATTTCTTGCTCCAAGTCTTCCATCATTTTTATCTCTCTCTAAACATCGGGAATGACTTTGCGACTAAACAAAACACATCACTAATTCTCCAGACAAGTTCAGGCTTAATTCATTTTGTCTTCAGGTATCTCCCACCTATTTCTTCCTCAGTATCAACATCTCAAAGGATCATTGGTATAGGATTAGCACAGCTCAGAGAGGGGGGGGGGTGGGAAGGGTAGGGAAAGAAGGAAGTATTGGGAAGAGTAGACAAGGAAGGAAAAGTGAAGAGAGGCAGAAGAGAAGGGAGTGTCCATACCTCAAGTCAGAGGATCGAGGCCTTGGCACTTGCGCCAACGGGGACACCCTACTGGCTTCTGACCCAACAAATCCACTGTCTGTCTCTGGAGACAAAATGCGTGCTTCCTGTGAGAGAGAGAGAGAGAAGGGGTTGGCCAAAGTCCTGCTCGCAACATCCAGCAGTTTGAGGAGCGATTCACACATGCATGATCTCCCCAAGTCACAAGACAGCGAGGAGACGCAATCTGCCAGGGCTCGCGGGTCACTGCTGCAGCGAGACTGACTCTCTCTTCCATTGAGTCTCGCTGCCATATTGCTGGGGCTGAGCAGTCTCTTAGCACGGGGAACACCTGAGTTTGTGGCTCCAACCTGTCTACACCCAACTCCTTTCAGAAGACATGCCAATACCGTGATCGCCAGCCACACCGAGCAGTGCTTACCTCAGGCATGGCCAGATTCGTCTCCCGGAAAGACTTCTGGGCCGGGCGATCAGAAATGGCCCCGTGAGCAACACTGGCCATACTGCTGTGAGACGAGACCGGCTTCTGCCACCTCCTGGAAGGTGCTTTAGGGACTGCAGCTGGTGTCCTGCTTTCCTCGGCTGACTTCGGAAGAATTGGCTGCTCCCCCTGAGAAGATGCCATGGCGCTGATTTGGCGGGGTGGCTGCTGGGACTTTCCTGGGGGTATCTCAAGAAGACTCCTTTCTTGGGACTCCCTATTAGAAAGAGGGGGGGAGCCCACATCAGAACCTTCTGGCCTTCATGGCCCCTTCCAACTTGACTATTCTGACTCTGCAACATGGACGTTAAGGGTGAAAGATATGCCCGTGCATTGAAGAAACCCAGATAGCCACAAAGCAGATTCTAGAAATGTCCACCCACAAGCCTCTGATCTCAACAGCCTCCCGCTTTCAGGGCTGTCTCTGGGTTGAGGCCATTTCCTGGAAAGCATCAAGAAAATAACTCATAATACCACTGGCTCATGGATCTTGGAATCCAACATAGTACCCGAAGATCAAGGGACAGCCAAGGTCTACAACGGTACAGAAGCCAAGCTAGACAGATAATTAGGCAAAATTAACCAGAAAGCTGCAGCCCGGCTCTGAATTTGATTCCCGCCATCCTGAAGTTCTGCTCCTCGCCTTCCTTATACACTTCTCCCTGTTCCCCGTGCTATAGTTCAGCCCCACTGCTTACGCTTACCATGATGAAAGCAACGGTGGTGTTCTGGTTATTAGCAGCCCTGGCCAGGGATCTTCCAAGCCCTCCAGTGGCAGGAGACCCAAATCTGCAAGGATTGCTAACAAGTTCCCAAGAGCCCCGCCATTCCCCAGCTTTGGAAATCGGAGCCGTGTTTTCACAGGCCCGAACGGTAAAGGGGTCTTGCGGGCTCTCAAGCAAGCAGGGAGGGAGGGAGGGAGTTGGAAGCTGGATCGGCAGATGGAAAAAACAGTCAGCTTCAGGCCTCCAGAAAGTCACACATGAAGCAAGAGCGCACTGCCCCCCCCCGCCCCTTAAGATTCCAGGCGAGCTGCATTTCCTTCCTGTCAAATTCCTCCCCTCCTCCTCGTTGCAGGGTCTCTCCTCTTCTGCTCCCACAGTTCCTCCCTCTGCATCTTCCCTGTCAGCTCAGCCTCTCAAGCAGTGTTAAAAAAAAGCAGCCCAAAAAAGCAAACAGAAAGAAAGCTCCTTTGTCCTGCTCAGGGGAAGAAAGCAAGGGAATGCAAAGACATCATTATTTGAGGGGCCGAGCCTACGGAACAGGCAAAGCTAAGAAAGCAAAGCCCACTTCTAAATTTAGTCACATCCTGGCATGCCCACAGCCCGTCTCTGCCAAAGAAGGGGGGCAGACCGTCTTTGCGAGCCAGTATGAGAATTATAGAAGTTAAGAATGAGGAAGCCCATTCCTCCAGAGTCTCAAAACCACATCCCTATGGGGTGGAACCAGACTTTCTACATAAAAGCTCCCAGGAGAAAGGGAGCTTTTACTCAGTGTTTACACCACCACCTTATGAAGCAGACTAGTCCAATCCTGAACAGCTGCGACCATCGGGAAATTCATCACAATGTTTAGCCAAAACATTCCCTGCCATTTTCAGCAATTAAAAGCAGAGCAATAGAGAACTAGAGCTAGTGACAGGTTTTATTTTCCTGGGCTCCAAGATCACCGTAGATGGGGACTGCATCCAAGAAATTAAAAGATGCTTGCTCCTGGGGAGGAAAGCTGTGGCAAATCTAGACAGCATACTAAAAAGCAGAGACATCACCCTGCCAACAAAAGTGCGTATAGTCACGGCTACGGTTTTCCCAGTTGCAATGTATGGCTGTGAAAGCTGGACCACAAGGAAGGCTGAGCGCTGAAGAATTGAGGCCTTTGGATTGTGGTGCTGGAGGAGACTCCTGCGAGTCCCTTGGACCGCAAGGCGATCAAACTGGTCAGTCCGAGAGGAGATCAACCCTGACTGCTCTTTAGAAGGCCAGATACCGAAGATGAAACTCAAATACTTTGGCCACCTAATGAGAAGGAAGGACTCCCTGGAGT